GGGGCAACTGCCCCCATTGCCCAAACAGTGCGGGGGCAGCACGGGGGCAACATGTTGCCCTTTTTACCGAAACTGAATTTCGAAATTCATGCGTTAATTCACAGGAATAGGAATTTATAACAATTTTTAAGCAATGTTTGAGCAATCTTGTTTAATTTTTAAGCAGTTGTAGTAAAATTAATGCTAAATCAAGCAATATACGTCCGTTTACTGATTTTATTTTGCGCCCTTAGCACGGTGCAACGAATAAAATTGTTCAAAATTAATGTCGAAGTTTTCCGACCCATAGTAGCCACAAGTAGTCGAGTATCCATACACTAAAGTTTTAACAAATATTGCCGCCCAGAAAAATGACGGCTGAGAAGCAAGTGCCCTTTTGCAATGGCTGCCCCCGCCGCTTCACATTGCTTCCGGCGCCTCTGATAAGGACGTTAAATCGTAGGATCCCCTATCAATAGTGCAATATGCTGTTGGGAAATCTGCTCACCAATGAGTGAGAAACTCAATAAAATTAAAATAAACACAATGACCAGCACTTACCCTCATCTGTGCCATCTTCGCCCATAATGATCTTCATACAAGAAATTATTTGTTGAGCACATGGTGCAGACATTGAACTAGCGTAAGCAGCACTGTGTGATGACCAGCGAATGTGGTCGATTATTTCCTAATTTAAAAAATATTCACACATCTACAATAACACCAAGAATTACACTTATCTATATTACGTACCTAGCCTAGTAACGCCAAAAATAATAAACGTTTTCAAAAAATTTAACACGTTTCGACCAGAAAGCAGGGGTGGATCCAGCAAGGTTTTTCTAGGGGGGTGCTGGGCGAGCAGCCAAGTGTTTCTTTATAATTCTTTAGGGGGTGGTGGGAGAATATTCAAATGAATTGGCTTCCTAACCACTCAAGCGCCGAAGGCGTGAGCTCAGGGGGTCCAAGGGTATGCCCCCAGAAAATTTTGAAAATTAGAACCCTAGAAATGCCATTTTCTGCGATATGGGCATTGAATTGTGAGCTTCAGTTTGACTTCAAAAAAGGAAAAACCTTGGAAATTGTGCCATGTTTCTGAATTTGATTTTTTGCACCCCCTTGCACCCCTGTTGACCAAGGCCAACAGGGGTGCGCACCCCTGTGCACCCCCCTATAAATCCACCCCTGCCAGAATGTAGTCATCTTCAGGATGATGCCAACTTTGAGTTAGGTGGACTCAGTTCATGACCCTTTCACCTCTGTGGATGAGGTTTGATTCCTGCAATGTACGTTCTCTGATAATATATTCCATCGAATGTGAGAAGATTAAAAGAACCGTAGTCTCTCAGTGTTCTCTGTTTTCTCATGCAGTGAAACTGGACCAATCAGAATGGTTTTTACTGGACCTCAGTTTGAGTCATGAAAACAGTTTAGAACTGATAGAGCTATTATCCAGCATCAATAAAATTAGTTCAGTTTAGGTTTCCTCCTCTAGTAACACTAGATCAATTGCAAGGAACGGCACTTACTGGCCCTTTAGGGGGAGAACAGTTTTTGAACTGATAGCACATTGAAGCAGAACTAAAATTAGTCTAGTTTAGCATTGATTAACATTAACTTTCTCTCACATCTTCTCTAGTTACCTTGGACGCTGCAATGTATCCGCCGACAGATCCAAAACTCTTCGTAAATGTTCCCATCATGATATCAATGTCATTTCTGTCGACGCCATAATAATCAGCCACGCCTCTACCATTGGGACCCATTGCACCAATACTGTGAGCTTCATCAAGATATATGTATGCTTTGTATTTCTTTTTTAAAGCTATTACTTCAGGAAGTTTGACTATTGAGCCTTCCATGCTAGAAATGGAAAAAAGTTTTTTATTAGAATAACAATATAACTCATTGTCTATGTTAGTTAACGTTTATTCATGATTTATTTATTTATGTTATTCATAACGTTTATTCGTCCTTCACCGTCACGTGTGTATTGTATTTTTGCCCAACTAGCCAATAGCAATTTTTTAGGAAAGTTACCTATCCGTGGCTCGAACAATGGTGAAATTGGAAACGCAATTGGTGGATTTGGCAAAAATACAATACACACGTGACGGTGAAGGACCAGATTTATGAATAAACGTTGACTAACATAGATAATGAGTTATGTTGTTATTCTAATGAGTTTCACAGCCATCTTCCCTTCGACAGGCTATGATCTCATCAAGGGCAAATTCTTGGATGTTAATGGGTTAACAACACTATCTGCCTGTGTCTCTTTTTAACGCATTAAGAGGCAATGCGCTCTAATCATGCGCCATATTCTATTATTTTACTCTACATCCAGGTGATCTTGATACGCGGAAAAGTACTGGCACTAGTTGTCAAATAGAAATCCATTTTATGATTAAAACAACTGAATATCTCCTGTAATATACTTTATTTCGATTCCATATTTTTGTCAGAGCTATAGTTCTCATAACCAAACATAATTACAAAATTTCAACTAGTTTCATAAAGAATAATGAAAGATATAATTGACTGAATACATCAAAATGGATTTCTATTCGGACAACCCTTTCTGAGCGCTGATTGGCTAAAATACGAACACGAGATCACCTGGATGTCTAACGTCACAGATGACTATGAACGATTGAACGTCAATGGTGGGTTCAAAATATGTGGTGTAATGTGAAAGACCTCAGCAACAACAAGTCGCAACCATGAAAGCTTGGCTTTATCACAAAGTTCTCAGTTTTTGTGGAAGCGTAATTTAGTCTGCCTTTGCAAAAATGAAACGCAAATTATGCATTACAGCCTACTTCGCTAAAAGTGTCTTATTATTGTTCCAAGTAATGAATGACATGACAACTGTCAAAATTTAGTTATAACTTATTTTAAGTATCTGCCATATTACAGTCGTTTACCTGTAGACTCCTTCAACTATGATGAGAATCTTTTTCCAAGCTTTGTGTGTTCGTGGTTGTCCTTGGACCACAGCAGACCTTAATATTTGCTCTAGATGCGCCATATCTTGAAAAATTTCAAAACAGAACAAATCATTCATTTAAAAGAATTTTTTTGAGAATTTATTGAGATAATATTCCACATGCAGGTGGAGTATGGCACACTGGTTATCCCATGCGTCTTTATACAGTTGTTTGTTCTTTAAATTTTGTCACAGTCTATGTGACTCCACCAAACATCGCACGTGCTACAGACAATGGATGCTCTATGATTCCTAAAAGCTGTCCTGTGAAGTATGCCTAGTATCCCACGTTTACTGTACACTTGCAATTTCTGCTGCGATTTTAGGTGCGATTTTCTTCTTCTAATGGATGTGAACGAGTGGATGAGTTATGAATGTTGAGATGAGGTACATCAGTGAGACATATACTCAGAACATTCATAACTCATTTACTTGTTCACATACATCAGAAGACGAAAATCGCACTAGAAATCGCAGCATAAATTGCAAGTGTAAACGGGCCTTTAAGGTTGTCCTGTAACGTATGCCTCAAATATGTTCCTCGGTTTTGTTACTAAAGCACACTCTTCTCCGCAGAGGGTTTTTGTTATTGTTTTTTTCATTGACTAAGACAAGCTCTTTATGGAGGGTGGAAGCAGAATAATAAGAGCAAGGGCATAATTTGGGTGGAGCCCGACAAAAAGGGTGTGATCAGAAACGAACGTAAAGATGCTGGGAAAACTAGAGACGTTTATGAGGGTCCGCAGAGTAGCGTCGAAGACACCATCCTCGTCCAGTCCAGTGGCCCTGGGGACGATGATGCGAAGGCACAAGTATTGAATGTCAAAGGCACGAGACCCGTAAAACCTATGGGGGGCATGCTCCCCCAGAAAATTGTGAAATTCTGATGGCGTGGAAACGACGTATATTAGAATAGAAAATTTTAAAATTGCTCAAACTGGACTTCTAGGTTTTTGGTTCTTACTCCATGATTTGAATGTGTAGTTTTCTCCACAAAATTGATTTTCTCGAATGACGCAAACGCAATGACGCATTCAATAACCTTTAAAAAGCTTCTGCAGAGGAGATCACAATTTCCATTGTGTGCACTCCAGGTTCGAAACAAGAAACCTACCGTTGTGTCTAAATATTTTGATCTTCGCTCCGGACAATCTTGCACCCAATATAAGCGAGGAATGATTCAGTTCATCACTGACAATTAGACATTTTCTATCCACCAAAGTTGGAAGGTTTGTTGAGTTTGTAGCAAAGCCCATACCAAACACCATGGCTGCCTCCTTACCTATAAATCTTGCTACAAGCCTCTCGAGTTCGACATGAATGTCAAGTGTACCTAAGGAAAACCGACATATGATGCATGATTTAGGGTGTATTATCGGGTATATACTCGGGTAACAGTGTTACAAGTGTTACACTATCTTTATTTAGGGTTAGGGTTAGTATTTGTAACACTATATGACACTATGTAACACGGTGGGGTTAGGGGTGGGGTTAGGGGTAGGGTTAGTGTGGGTAACACTATGTAACACTATGTAACACGGTGGGGTAAGGGTTAGGGATGGGGTTAGGGGTAGGGTTAGTGTGTGTAACACTATGTAACACTACGTAACATTATGTAACACTATGTAACACTTTCAGCACTCTGTAGCACTATGTAACACTATGTAACAAAGTGTGACACTATGTAACACTGTGTAACACTATGTAAGAATATGTAGCATTGTTTAAGACTGTGTAACACTTGTAACAGTGTTACAACTGAGTGCCATAATAAAGCCACCCTAAATCGTGCATGGTATAAAAACCGAAAGTACAATGCCCTGAGCAAGTATCTCAATACAGGCTTACTAACGGCACGTCAACTTGGTTTACACATGTAAAAACGCACAAGTTGTTGCAAGTCTGCAAACAAGTTGTTACAAACCTGCTCACAAGCTGTCGACAAGTTGTCTTCACAATGCTTGTTCCAGTTGTTGTAACAAGTTTGGAACAAGCTGTTAACAACTTGTAACAAGCCTGATGGCATTATCAGACTTGTCACAAGGTTGTTCTACAAGTCTGATACAGTTATGATAAACAAGAATGTTACAAGGTTGACGACACAAGGTTGTAACAATACTGCTGCTATATCATGACTGTATCGGACGTGTTGGAACAACCTTGTAACAAGCGCGATAGCATCAACAAGGTTGTTACAAATTGTTAAACAGCTTGTTCCAAACTTGTTGACAACTTGGGACAAGCAGTGCGAACACAACTTGTTGACGGCTTGTTGGCAGACTTGCTACAACAACATCTGAGATTTTTACGGGTATAGTTGGTTATAGAGCCTCGTTTTCGTAATTTCGTGATTGAGACGCTAGTCTTTGAAACGAGGCTCTATAGCCAAAATGACCTACTTTCCGGAATGTAGCATTTATTTTACAAATTTTCGCCTTGCGTTAAGAAATAGGATTTGCTGGCTTGAGGAGTTCAGGTTAACGCCCGGCTTGTGTAGATGGCATGTTGCCAGAATTCGATCGTCGGTCTGATCAGCATCAAGTGTCTTAAACGTCAGTACCTATCATTGGTGTGATTTTTAATCTTGATTTTGTACCTCTCAAAAGAGAATGCGAGTACACGAGAGTTGGCAGTCACGTGACCTTGGTTTGCTGTTCTTAATTAGGAAAAAAAAAAGGGGTGGGTTTCCGGTTTCTTCTTATAAAAACTTTAAACTTAGGTAGGGTAGGTCGGTTTTAACTTTTTTTCTTAAACTTTTTTTTTTAATTTTCCGAACGAGCGGACGCCATTTTGTTTAGTCAGTGCTTCCACATCCAGAGATAAATTTCCCTAATATTGCCTCAAATTTCAATTTTCTACAAACTTTTTCCTCTAAGTGGAAACACTTACAAGCATGATCCAATAAAAAAGTTTAGGGTCGGGATTTCGACGTCCAAAAGCTAGGTAGGGTCGGGAAACCGGAAAACCACATTTTTTTTTGCCTTAATGCTTTCCCAACCCTATCATGTATTCTATTTAATAAGTTGAAATTGGAACACTCATCAAACCTTTATTTTGTTAATCTAGAGCTTGAAATGTCCCCCGTAACAATGCGTGACTGGCAACTCTTATGACATTTGACAGGGGGGGGGGCAACTGGAGGACCTCAATGGGGCTTGAATCATTAATAAAGGAATACCGAATGGTTTTTCGTGCAGGATTGCGTGATCCATGCACGAGGGATGTCGCGAGACTTTCGGAAAGCGTAAAAATACTCGAGCCGCAGGCGAGTGTATTTTTATGCTTTCCCAAGTTCGAGCAACATCCCAAGTGCATGGATCACGCTATCCTGCTTGGAAAACCATTTGGTATAATAGACAACTTGCATGTTAGACTAATTTTTTATTTAGGCAAAAAAAGTAAATTCCCGAAAAGAACTTATTAAAATCAGTAAAACTGCAAAATTTGGTTGCGAAATGTTGTAAAATACAGAAAATATAGCCTTGCAAAGTTCGCATATTTTCAGTATGTTTGTATTACGTGCGGAAATTGTTACCATTTTTGAGCCGAAAATGGTAACAATTTCCGCACGTAATACAAATATACTGAAAATATGCAAACTTCGCAAGGCTATACTTTCTGCATTTTACAACATTTCGCAACCAAATTTTGCAATTTTACTACTATGAATTTCATTATTTTCTTTTTAACTGTTGTGTGTTTTTTGCATTCCAGTTACGCGTTTTTCATACGTGCGTACACGCACGTAAAAGTTGAATTCGCTTAATATTTCATATAAGTGCAAATAACCTTAACAAATACACATTAAATCATACACAAAACTGAATGCTGTCTTTTTATAAATTTAGTTATTTCATAAGTAGGATGTAAAGCGAATTCAACTTTCACGTGCGTGCGTGTACGCACGTATGAAAAACGCGTAACTGGAACAATGACATTTTGAGAATCCCGCGAAAATCCCACGAAGGCATTTTAATTCCTCGCGCAGGATAGCCTGATCCTGCACGGCTATTGACCAATCAAATTGCGTGTTTCACTGTAGTTATTATATAATGCGCATTCCGGTACGTCAGCAAGAGTTCCGAGTACCTACGTGATACTTGGTTAAAAATAAAGATTGCATTTTGATTTAAAAATACCATGTGGAACCATACTAAAATGTGGCTTACCATATTCCTGTCTTGTACTGCAGGTTGCCAGGGCGTGTTCTCTTATTGCATGTTCCGAAGCATCTGTACAGGGACCAGAGTTTGCAGAAAAGCCAAGATAGTTATATGAACCAAGGTTTAAAGCCTTAGAACTTTTACCTGTTAGCCTGTTGGAAAGTAATTGTTACATTTATATGAAGACAAATGAAAGTCCTTAAATACTGCGGGTGCATGACTCTATAATGATAATTAGTTAGTGTTTGCAACAAAACCAAGGTAGTTATTGTATGAAATTTAAGGGAAAATGGTTTAAAGAACTAAGATTTCTGGATACAAAAGGTAGTCATAATATTTTGCCAACCTAATTTCCCTCCTCCCCAATATTTCACGAAATGTCCACCACTGCCTTGAGGGCTGGGCCAATTATATTGGAGAGGGGGCTTAGTTGGGAGGGTTTAATATAGTCAAGGAAGCCTATCAAAAAGGGGGAGAGCTTCAGGGGGGCTAATTAATATAGTCAAGGGTCATTAATTACCTTTTTCCTATCAAAATGGGGGGTCATGGCTATAATAGAGAAAGGGGGGACCTGAACAAATTTCCCTCTCTCAAATGTGCTGGCAGCGCTACAGAAGATAGCCTTAGTGAGGCCTTGTGGCTGTTATGGTAAATTCTGACAGGTGACATTGGTTTGAAATGGTAACATATAGAAAATGAAATAGCATCATTGGACAGGAAGAAAACAAAGTCACAATAAAAAAATTCAAAAAGCAACATAGCAATGTTTTCAAGTGGCAACATGCATTACTTGTTTTGAAGATCAGATGAACAACATATGTATACTCCTTACTCTCCACAAGGGTGACTAAGTTATAATAGAAGCTTAATCCCAAGGGGGGCTTATTTGACAGAGGAGGGGGGCTTAATAGAGAGGGTAGCTTGTCAGTTCAGGAATATATTGTCAGGCGTAAAAAAAAATACCTGTGGTTCCGGTTCCCGACCGACCCTATTTTTTTCTGCCGACCCTATTATTTTTTCAACGCGATTGACTGTGCGACCCTATTTTCTCCAGGTGGTTGCGGGTTGCTAGTGCAGCGTGCCAAAATGGCATCTGTTGTCACACTAATTAGTGAACTAAATTCGTCCATAGCAAATACGCATCTCTAGTTAATATTGATGTCGGGACTCTACTGCAAATCGCCCAGCAAAAAAACGCCAAAACCATGAAAAAAAAATTCAAATTTAATAAATGTAATCAATAACATGAGTTTGACTTCGTTGTGAAGGGGCAGTTGGGACTTAAAAGAGACGGAGGGGCTGAAAAGACAGTAGGAGGGGGCAGGGGGACCTAATATATGTTTCTTTCTCAAACAAAGGGGACTTGTATGGGAGGAGGGGCATAATATAAACATCTTCAATATTTCTATAATAGGGTTTAACTTTATCAAACAGACATTAAACAATCAAAGACTACTAAACCTGTATGTCCAGTTATTATCATCACTAAGTCTTTCCATTAGGTCAATTTCTGCCCCAGGGAGACTACATATTGGCCGGTTGAAACAGTCCATTGAACGTCGATATAGATTACGAGTGTAAAAACTCTCAAAGCTTGCATATAATGGAACAAAACCCTAGACACAAAAGCAGTTATGACTTTAGGAGCCTTTTTAGTAAGTTAATTGTATAGCAGTTATTTTAACAGAAGATCCAATAAGTCTATAAGTATGTTTTAACTCATTCAAACAAATTTACTCATCCATGGAAGAGTGCTGGGTTGACCTATTTAGCACCACCAGCACTTTCCCCCTGGTGAGTACAATCATCTGGCAAATTAATGGATGGTTAATTATACTCTGTTTTACACCCAACAATTTCAACTTGTCAAGAGAAAAATTTTGTACATTAACTCAGCCTCGATGTTGCCAAATGGCTAGCCTGCTCACAGACGTTGTAGTTCTTACGCCAAGCGACGAAATATTTCGTCGCTTGGCATAAGAACTACAACGTCTGTGAGCAGGCTACCAAATGGCCGGCCTACTTTGTTATTTTACTCTTTCTAATGGAAGATAATTTTGTTTGTCAAGGGCAAAGTGTTGGGCATTACCATTAACCAGATTATCTGCCCACATTACCCATTAACAGGGAATGCCTGTCAATCATTCTTGGAGATGATGAACATCTGAAATTCAGGCTACCTTCTTCATTATTTTACTCTGTATTAGGGCCTGTTTATATGGAAGCCCAGGGAAGGCCCGCTAAGCGAGACAGCCCAGTAAGCAAGATCTCGCTGTGTAGTTATTTTTATAATAAAAATTATTGTGCATCTCGCTTGAAAGAGGCGAGATCTTGCTTACCAGGATGGAAATTTCTCCATATAAACTCTCACAAACAACAAAATTGTCCTGGCAAGCAGGATGAAATTTTCTCATATAAACACAAGAGATATTCATCCTGCTTACCGGGCTGTCTCACTAAGCTTCCATATAATGAGGGCCCCCTATACTTATTCACAATATGCTTTCACGTAAAAATATTTTGCCTTTTCACGAGTCACGAAAAATTGAAAACATTTTTTCACGTTCACGGAAAAATCGAAGCGATCACGATTCACGTAAAAATAAAACAAAATTCACGAATTATTATATGGATGTCCTCCTCAATTGTAGAATCATTGTACTCATCTGTACTTACCTCGACATGCTTTCAAACCTCCAACTATGTCGAAAACAGGCTTCTGTACATCAAGTACTTCAAAAAACAGCAACAAACCGTATTTATTCCTTGGAAAGTTCAAAGCTGATCACACAAAAGGTCACAAAACAGATGATTCACGAATCACGCATATTTCTATCTGCCATTCACGGGTCACGGTTAAATCGAATTTTTCCTTCACGTGCACGTAAAAATATTGGAAGTCATACCATCACGAATCACGGATTAAGAAAATCATCGATCACGTTTCACGGCTAAGTAAAATAAGCCAATCACGCTTCACGCAAAAAGTATAGGGGGCCTTTATAATGTCTCACTAGGCTTCCATACAATGCACTAGTCAATTGAAATCCTGGCCCCCCGACCCCCGGGACAGGGCGGGGAATTAACAGGGGAATGGCCGTGGATTAACACGGGTTTAATGCACAATTTCCCCCGTGGGACAAGGTAAATCAAGGTAAATCATCAAGTCAATTCATTAGCCGGGACAATAGCCGGGACTTTAACGTGCGGCTGATATGAAAGTGGACTGGAACGAGTTTATCCTTGTGGCATTAATAAACTTTTGTCCGTTTTATCATTGTTTCCTCATAGTTTTTCTTAAAAGATGACTGCAAGATAGTCAAAACGTAGATTATTCAGTATCTTTTGATGCAGATCAAAGTTTAAGATCAAAAATTGCCTTCACATGTTGTGAACATTTTATAGTTAAACGATTTGATGAAAATTTGCAAAGTGCTGCAGGGCCATAACTTTAACAGTCAATATTCCCCCAGTAGCTTTAACAGTCAATATTCCCCCGGTAGCGGGGAAATTACCAAAATTTAACATTGTCAAAATGTTAATTTACCCACCCTGTCCCGGGGGCCGGGGTTTCAATTGACTAGTGCATAAATCGGTCAGTATAATCTGCAGACTGCGGGTACAAGATGCAGACTTGTACGACGCTGCAGACTGGGGGTGAATTAGGGATATTTACGGCAAATGCCTCGAACACCATTATCTCGTTGAAGATGTAAAAACACAGATAATTTTAAGGTGCGAAGGCAGTGGCGGAAATCTTGGTGGGGCGGGGGGTGTCCACCCCCCCCCCCCTTCACGGAAAATTGATGAATTTTCGGAAATTTTTACCTAAAAGAGGGCTAAAAACAGTCTTTTCGAGTGCAAATGGGGGGGGGTACGTCGGGAATTTGAAAGTTTTGTTGAAAATTTAGGAGGCTTTGCCCCCCCCCACCAGAAAAAGTGAATTTCCGCCACTGCGCGAAGCAACACTTGTGGATGGGGGGGGGGCTATGATGGCAGCAGTCCCTAATCATGCTCCTATTCGTAACGCTAATCCTAATGCAATCGGTGGGTTTTCAAAAACACCACTCATATTCACGCATTTTTGAAAGCTCGATCTACAACAAAAGCAGTTGGCATCCAAAACTGATGAAAGTGACTAGCTTCCACATTAATATTATCAACAAGAACGATCACGTGACTATGACTTGGCGGGATTTGTGAAATATCCCTAATTCACCCCCAGTTCTACATTTTATCCTCAGTCTGCATTTTGTACCCAGTCCGGTCTGCAGTCCACAGTCTTCAGATTATACTGACCGGTGCATAAATAGGCCCTTAATAGAAAAAGTTTGCCCTTTTTGCACATATTTGTCATGTTAAACTTTTAATGTGCAATTAAAATTTTTGAATATTAATTAAAGAAGTTCATTTATATGCATTGCAATAAAAAATTACAAGAAAACTCTCGTAAATTTACTATCACATATTAACTTATTAGCAACGAAATTTACAACAAAAATGTACATTTACTGGTAATACTAAAAGATTTAATTAAAATATGCAATAAAGGTTTTATATAGATCTTTCTATATAAAATATATATAATCGTATTAAAGTGTATATATATCTTCGGTCAAGCGAATTATTTGCATAGTTTGTCTTGCTGCGTTTTAATACACGCACAAATTATCGACAAACTATCTTTATACTTTGCCTAAAAAATGATCATCTGTCATCCCTGTCAGATGAATGATGCGCTTGACAAATTATACGTCTTTACTATATAAATTGGGCCAATATTGCAAATTTTATACTGGCAGGTGAATGCTATTTCAAAAATAAATAATATTAAGAGTAGTCGCTTATATGTAATGAAATATAAATCTTGTACAAAAGTGTAAAATTAGCAGCTGACCCTACCTCGTTCCCTCGTTCTTTATAAGCCCTCGATTTTTCCAGGCCATAGAAGCGCATTAAATCTCGCATATATCCAAAAAGAATAAGTATAGCATACGACATATATGTTAGCACTGCTATCCATAGGGGCGTAGCTTCGAATTCCTCGCAATGAACGGGTTTACTATGCAGGTCTTGTTCACTTGAGTGTACACGATAGCCATTTACCCCGTTTTCTTTAGCTTCTTTAGACTTGTTGTCAATCCCATTTTGTAAAACTAGTCTGCTTGGGTCGCACATTTCTGCTTTGACCACTACATGCCCATTCATTTTATGTAGAGTTCCCAGCTAAACTTTCCCCGTTAGTAAAAGAACAAATTATTTGAATATTTGTTCCTAGTGTGCCATTGTTTATGCATATTGTCCCATTTCCGGTGAAGTCGAACCATTTTGCCATGGTAACGAATATGCCTCGTCAGCTGAGCGCAAAGGTCGTTTTTAGTGCATATATTATAACAGCTATGATTACAGTAACTTTTCTAGAACGTCTGCCTTCGTCTGCAAGGTTACGCAAGAGGGTGGAGCTAGCTTGGCCGCCAGCACACATAAATTATATATATATAACGTCTGAGTGTCTCATTTTCTAAGATGTCAGTGAAATAGTCTGTTTATTAGACTGTTTTAAGTCTGTGTAGACTGGTTAGGACATTTTCAGTTTATATAAAACTAATTTTATCCCCCCCCCCTCCCCACATTTTGGAGTGATTCGACGTCGCTCTTGTTTGCAGATCTGCGATTTTGTTTAATTTGTTCTCTCCAGTCTCCAAATTGAGTTCTTTTAGCAAATAGGAAATTTCATAACATACAACCAGTATAAAAATGAAAAAAAATGTTCCTTCCTTTTTTGGGCGAAGTTTTTTTGCGGAACACTGGCCATTGGCCAATATCTAAATTCCGGCATAGGAAATCCTGTTTGCGAAATAATACAAAAGTCATGTTTCAGTTTCACAGCTGTTTTGAGACAATAAACGGGACAATAAACAATTTCATTTTAACCTTGACTTTAAAATCCCTACCAACGAAAGCTTGTTAATATTATTGGCACTACCTACACTGTCTACACTGGCACAGACAGTTCATGCGTATTTCATTTTGCCGGCATTATGCGGTTTCCTAATGAACTGGTGGTTGACACGTGCAAGGGCACAGCCGTGACTCGAGCCGTGACTGATAAAATTCAATAACCTTTCATAATTTGGGTAATAGTCGTAATACCTTTGATAATACGCTACTAGCAAATATTATCATAAGTGGTTCAGTTTCTAAGAATAAACCATTGAGTTGGCCTAAAAATGTAGATTTAAACGATATAGCGATAAATATAGAGATGCTTTTTTTTCAATAATTTTGAATTACAAAGAAATCGAATCGCCATATGGCATATGTGGCCATATGAAGCCATATGTGGTTGTGTACATGAGGCCATACCAAGGCGGCGCTATGATTGGTTGCTGGCTAATTGCTATTAACGCGCGAGCCAATCAGGTTGCAGTATTATGACGGAACACAATTGATGAAAAACTTTGTCTCAAAGATCATTTTGATTTTGGGTTTCCTCTTCGTCTGCAAATGGACGGGAAAACCCATGAGTGTCGAAAATACACTTGGGAAGAAGTTCGCCGTCATAACACCGCAACAGACTGTTGGGTTGTTATCGATGGAAAAGTATACAACGTTAGCAAATGGCTAAAATTTCATCCTGGCGGAGTCTTGCCCCTACTCTATTCGGCCGGCCAAGATTGTAGCAGTGTGTTCAAAGCCTTTCATCCATTCTCCTGGATAAGGGAAAAGCGTCTGCCGCCGTTCTACATCGGCGATATAAGCGAGCCAGACAAGGAAGGAGTTAAAGAGTCTGAAATCTCAAGCGAACTGGATAAAATTCAGGAAGAAATAGTGAAAGAAGGCGGCTATGAGACGCATTGTAAGTTGATTTAACGAGGTTGAATATCACATCATTTTATCCAACCGTTGACAGTCATGTATGTATATGTTTCGTTTGTATTCCATTATTTTTAACAGAGATAATGAAAAAGCTTTATGTAATAACTCTGAAACTTGCGAACAGTTTTTAATAAAAAAAATATAAGCAATTTTTCCCTTGGTTTTTTTCGAGGGCCGTGTTTATATATTGCATTGCCAAGCCGGCAAAATTTGACAAGCGCCGGCCGTTTGCGCAAACTGGTTTGTGCGTTGATGCATAAATACTGAACGCTATGTCCAGCCTCATTTCGAGCGATTTATACGTTTCTATGAATCGAAAAATACAGGTTTTTGAAAGAGGAAAAGGGTGTGTTCCATTGCTGTAAATGGATGAGATTTTTTATTTGTGTTTGCACCTGTCATGTTTGTAGTGCAGCTGTCAGAAACATAATAAACCGACGCTTAGTTTGAAGTGTAAAAAGGCAAAGCTCTTTCAGATACCAAGTTCTCGTGGTTTGTGAAAGTAGTCGATGTGTAACAGACAATGAGTTTAGTCTAAATACATGACGGGATGTGTTGATTTAATGCTTATAGCACAGGATATACAGTACACTTTTTGGATATTGTTTATATAAACTAATGCTATTAATCTTAACATATTAAATGGAAAGAAATATACGAAGCGATTAAGCTAGCTATCTCCAGAGACATATTCGGGGGTTGAAACTCGGTGCATTGGTTGCCTACTTGCCTGCCTAAACTGAACATCCAAAATATTTCCACCACTTGAGCAATTTCAAAATTTCTGATTGCAGAAGGCATGCCCAGAACTTTCCAGAGGGTTTGGCCCTTCGATATTCAGATATGTCACTTAAGCCCCCGTTTCATATGCATACTTTTTACAGGTGCTGAATTAAATTAAGTATGGCATTTGTGTGAATTTGGTATGGCAGCTGATTCATACGGCATTTATTATAGCAAATTTAATTTGTTCTTGATGTTTCGGTTGTTTTTGGTGTTCCGGTTAAAACCTTAATCGGCTGCCACACCAAAGTCGCATAATGCAGTAAGACATGTTGAATTTAATTCTTTTGCCAGACCAAATTAAGTTGCTGAACTTAATTTGATTCAGACGCCATGAATTGAATTCAGCACATGTGAAGTACGGCCTCTTGAATCAGGCCTAAGGGCTCTTTCAAAAGAAGTCCAATATGTCCCCCTCTGGATGGCGGAATGTGGACCTTTTCTGGATTGACTCTATGTGTCAAATTTAGTTTTTGAATTGTGCACTAGAACGGTCTATGCCAGTGTAAGTAGTGATAATAATAAGAAAGCAGTGGATTAAAAGGATACAACTACCTGAAAAATACAAGCAGTGTTATTTTCTGCTGGCTGAGGAACGAAAGAGGCAGAAAATGTTTTTCTCACACACTGCTGGGGGATTGGGTGAAGGGTGGGGTCAAGGTAATCAGACTCACTTTTTTGCTTGCCTTGTGATAGCCTGACAACACAGGTTGTTTTTGTTGAGCGAAAAGTTTGCCTTTGTTGGCATGGTAGTCATGCCTAAAGAATCAAATCAACCTAAATCAGACTCTAGAGCGTTACGGCGCCTAGATCCGTACAATAGAAGTCCTCGAGAGCAGGAAGAAAATCCAGAACGAAGTTCGCGCCATTCAAGTGGCGAAAAAGCAAGGTCGCGTCCTTCGCAATCCGCCAGTCGTTCAGAGACTCGTAGTCGCTCACGTTCGCCATCTGAACCGCCACAATGGGCGAGAGAGTTGTTAAAGAATCAGGAGGATTATAGAAAAGAAATGAAACGTCTACAAAGCGAAATCGAGCGTCTATGTCGACGCGGGATTGTGGGCAAACTATGGGTGTTGTTTTGTCTACTTTTTGGTGAATGTTAAAACAAACGAATGTACGTAACGTGAACTGTCAATAATATGCGAATAAATAAATAACTAAAAAATTGAATTGTCAATACCAAATGGCCTGTTAGGGGCACAATGGCCTGTTAGGGGCACAATAGCCTGTAAGGGGCACAATAGCCTGTAAGGGCAGAATCGCCTGTTAGGGGCAAATGGCCTGTTAGGGGCACAATAGTTTTGAAAAGGGGCAAATACCAGAGTGGAGTTCTGCCCATGGTGGCCGTTGTTGTTTACCTGACAAGAATTATGGCAAGCTTTGTCAAAGCCTGTTGCAGAGTTGAACCACACGACAGTTTTGGAACTCAGTTCAGCAGCAAGTAGCCACAATTGGCTTCGGGTGGCCTGTCAGGGGCGCAATCACTGTGTAATAGCCTGTTAGGGCAGAATTGCCTGTAAAGGGCAAATGGCTTGTTAGGGGCACAATAGCCCGTAAGGGCAGAATGGCCTGTTAGGGGCGGAACAGCCTGTAAGGGACAAATGGCCTGTTAGGGGCACAATAGCTGTAAGGGCAGAATCGCCTGTTAGGGCATTATGACCTGTAAAGGCAAAAATTGCCTGTTAGGGCAGAATGGCCTGTGTAGGGCAAATGGCCTGTTAGGGGCACAATAGCCCGTAAGGGCAGGATGGCCTGTTAGGGGCAAATTGGCTTGTTAGGGGCAGAACAGCCTGTAAGGAACAAATGGCCTGTTAGGGGCACAATAGCCGTAAGGGCAAAATCACCTGTTGGGGGCATTAATGGCCTTTTAGGGGCACAGTATCCTTTTAGGGGCAGGATATCCTGTTAGGGGCACAATATCCTGTAAGGGCAATTTGCCTGTTTGAGGCACAATAGCTTGTTCAGGATTGCCTGTCAAGGAAACAATACGTATTAGAGTTACAGTGGTGCAACACTTGGAAGGACTTAATGACAGTTGTTATCACATACATGGTGTATGTGCAGGTGGAGCAGCAGCAGCAGCCACTTTGGGTGTGCCAATCCTGTTTCACTAACATGGGGAGTGACAGCCTAGGACAGATGCTGTGAAGAGAGATTATACTCTTTGTTATTAGTAACAAAAACTGTTAAGATAAGAACACTTAATTAAGAGGCTTCTCCCAAAGCCTCTTTAACACTCTATGCGTTTTTTGCCTTGCGTGTGCAGCATCCCTCAGCTGTGTGTGAGAAGTGTTATTTTCTGCTGGCTGAGGAACGAAAGAGGCAGAAAATGTTTTTCTCGCACACTGCTGGGGGATTGGGTCAAGGGTGGGGTCAAGGTCATCAGAGTCACTTTTTTGCTTGCCTCGTGCTAGCCTGACCTGTGTCCCACCCACCCACCCTATTGGCAGGTACTGCCAGGTAGTGCCTAAGTTATTATGCAGTTGCAGTAGTGTGCTAACTAGAATTTGGTTTAGTCCAACACGTGATAATTAGTGAGTTGCAGTTTGTACAGATTCGTTTATTGTAAATATGAGATATTTTTGTTGATTAAAGGTCAGGCTGCCTTGCGTGTGCAGCATCCCTCAGCTGTGTGTGAGAACCTCCATTTTTTTAACAATAAAGAAAAAGAGAACATTTTTTCAGCTTCATGATTCTAATAAAAATTTCAGTATAAATATCCGGCCAAATTTTGCCAGTTGGATACAGCCAGATTTTTTACCAGATATTGCCATATTGGATACCATATACTGGATACCATGTGCCGGCACATTCCTATAATGCTATATGATCTCTTTTGGGAAAAGACTAAATAATATGTATTATATTGATAATAATTACTCGAATTTGTAGTGGATGAAATCATCATGGCAAACTCATCCTTGTTATGCTCAAGACTTCGGTGTGAATGGATCAATCTGCTCATTCCTGCTTTATCTTAGCGAGGTTTTTGAAACTTAATACTTTGTATAATATCTCTAACTTTAATTAAAATTAAAGAGCCTTCCTAAGGGACCGTTGATTATTTATGGAAGGGGGGAGGGAAAAAATAAGGGGGGGCATATGTAGAAATAAATGACAAGAAGGGGGGGCTATTAAATTTTTTCAAGAAAATGACGGGGGGGGGGTTGCAATTAAATTTGAAGGAATTTGCTTAATAACCTGGTATCCATTTGGTTGTAAATGTTGCAACTAAATCATGGTCACTGATGTGAAATAGTCTGGATTCATCTTGTCTTGTGTGTGCTATATGCAAATCAGATTTACGGTTTGCAGACTAGTTAAATTGACAATGTATTATTACATTAGCTCTTGATGTGGTTAGATACATTTAAATTAAGCAAGGTTAACGGCGGATGTATTATGCAGGCCACATCCACTGAGGGGAGTCTGTGACGTCATATCGATCAAAGGGGGTTGTTTCATGCCTTGTGATCAGTGCTTTGGTCTGGGTATTCATTCTACCATTGTATGCTTTGCCTAGCTGCAGCAAGTTTTGCGCTTCGATACCTTTTCCCCACGAGCAAAAATGAAAATGGGGGGGGGGTCAAAGAAAAATATTCCAATATGCAGGGGGGGGGTCATCATTAAATTTCTGCTCTTTTAGGGGGGGCTTTCAATTTTACAAATTTAGAAAAGAAAAATTCCCCTCCCCCTTCCATAAATAATGACCGGTCCCTAATGTTTAGTTCTTGGTAATACGATGTATGTTTTGAATTATAAGATGTATGAATTCATACACTGTATCACCAAATTGTTGGTTTTCATGATTACTTTAGGTTGAGCCCTGGTGTCCAAAATTGCCTGGTACACATTTAATGAGTAATTGGAAACCAGTGGAAGACGGCAGTAAAGTTGTAAGTGAAATAATACAAAATTACTGAAGTCCTATAAGGAGGGAGTTTAGTAATTACAGTAAAATAATTAAATGCCCTGATAGATGATTACCTAATCCTAAAGACTAAATTTCTTCATTCAATTTAATTTGTAGTTTGAAAGGGTTATTGCACTGCATATTTAATGTACTACTGTTGTGTTAATAGAATCTTAAAGGGACCAGCATGGAAAAATTAATGGATAAACTAACAAAAGTGGTCTCTGAATCACGGTTGAAATGGATCCGTACAAGAGTTGTCCGTATGTACAGTTATTGGACAAAAGCAATGAAAGAATTTCAAAGCAGAGTGAATGTTACGGACAAACCAGTGAAAAAGGTGAACATACGTTGTTTTAGAGTTTCAGTACTAATAGCTATGTTTTATAAAGTTCAGCTCTGTGTAAATGGGTTAAATCTTAAAACATAGTCGTTATTTGTCTGACACTGGATCCAAACATTCAGGTGCTATTTGTCCAACAAAAGTGTCTAATCTTCGGTCTTTAATTAAGTGGCAATGCGTCCTGGTGCACCCTACTTTATTATAATTTTACTCTGTCTAATGCCAGACGATTTTACTCATCAAGAGAAGAGCACAGTGGCTGCCAGCTCAATGGGTTAAGAGGCTGCATGGTCCATAAAGTTTTTGTATCAATAGTGAAATTATTGGGTTGGCAGGGGGATGGTAATGTTACTAATGTACATATCAGTTAATATATGATTGTTCTGCTCATGTGTTTTATTTAGATTCTTATCCATGTTGGCGTGTTAGCAGAAGAAAAGTCGTTACATTTTGCTCAAACTGCAAACACCGGTGGACCACTTGGTGAACTGGTCCAATGGTGTGATTTAATTACATCGCTGTATATTTTGGGACATGATATCCAAGTGACTGTTGAACATAATGAAATGCTGAGGTATATATTAAGGACCAGAAGTTCATTACTATTGCAGGGTAACCTGGGCTGTATAACATTATTGTACATTATCTTTCAGTGCTCTTAATGGCAATGTGGATACTATAAAGAGACCGTGTCCCCCCAAAAACGGACACCTTGCAGCTGATATAATTTTTACTGATTATTATGGATTATCATATCTTAGAAAAAAAGCAATTCCTCTACTTCAACATTACAAGTACGTTTTATTGCCTGAGATATTTTTATTATTATAAGTTTCGCTGTAGGCGAGGTGTGACTCCTGCAATAGTTTCACCTCTGTCACATATGAGAAGTCTAGTATACTTCTGTTTTGACTTTCCTCTTGTAGTGACATTAGGCCAAATGGCCAATAAGGGATGACCAATACTAGACTTCCATTAGGTGTTTTGACCCCCATGCAGGGGGTCTTGGGGGGGGGTGCGACGCCACCCCACCCCCACCCCCACCCCCAATAATTCTGAACTTTGAAAAGTTGGTCAAAATTTTTGAAAAGTTGGTCAAAGGAATTATTTAAATATTAAACGAAATCTTATATTATTTACAAAAATTTTAGAAAATCCAAAAAATGTTCAGAATTTTAGAAAAAGTTCTTTGATAAACGGAGAAAATTTGTGATATCCGAAAAAATTTTAATGTCGCGAAAAATGCGATAGGTCCGGAAAAATTTTTTTACCCCTAAAATGGTGACTGAAAATGTTTTGGCGACGGGGGGGTGGTAGGTCACCAAAAAAAATTTCGAGAAAAATTTTTTTAAACACGAAAACGTTGGTCATTTTCATTGAAAAAGTTGGTCATTATGGTATGACGCCCCCCAATCTGGAATCGTTCGCCACGCCCCTGCCCCATGCGTTTCAAATTAAACGCCCACCTTGCGGGCTGGATCTCCATAGGAAGAACAGTTTACAGTAGAGCTATCCAGTATAAATAAGGTTACAGGTTAGTTCTGGTTCATGGGAAATGCCCCTTGGATCATGGGAATGCCCCTTAAGGAGAAAAATTTAGAACTGATAGAGCTACAGTGAGAGTCAGTAAAGTTTTGTGTGTGTAGTATGTTAACATGCTGTTTTCTTGGCACAGGTGTAGATTGCGTATTGTGGACTCATTTGGAACAGAAGCTCAGTTTAACTACAATGGACCACTGCCTAGTATCGGCAATCCAGCACCTGTCGGTGGAAACCTCTTTGGAAAGAATGAGTTGAATTTGAAACAATACATGACTATGTTTCGTAAGTAATAGCGCAATTTATTTGCCCGTGTTATTGAAAGCTGAAAATATTATATTATTCATGATTTGGGGGCGCTGTTCATTTAATGGCCAAGACGTAACAAAAGACAGCGCAACTGGCAAGGCAACTTTATAGTGTAATGGTCAAAACTACGGTTTTCACTTCCTATAGTCATTTTGTGTACACATATAATGTTCTTTCAAGACTTCTCAGATTAAAAAATTGTCTAATCTGACTGTCTTCTGCATGCGTTCTAGCACACAGCCCTGACAACACATTCCTGGGTTTTGTTGTGGACAGTAAGAGCAACGTGCCAAAATCTGTTACGAAGAAACAACAAGCTTTGACTTATGGCAAACATTACTACATGTGGAAAGTAAGTAATTGCTGATTATTTTCACCTCAGAGTTGCATGTGAGAAACGTTTTTCCAGGGCCGTACGCACAATTTTTTCATCAGGGGGGCAGCAAGACCTATATGCTGGAATAGGTATAATTAGCAATAATAACATGAAATCGTTAGTTGAATTTTCTCTTTGGGGGAGTTGCCTCTGCCTCCCCCACCCCCCTCCCCCACTGTGTACGTCCCTGATGCTTTGTGACTTTTAAGTACGCCGGATTTCAACACATCTTATAGCTACAGTTTGTGGCTATAAACCAACATATTCCAACCCTTTTGTTGTTGGAAATTGTAGTCCCCAAGGCTTATTTGGCTCGAATTTCATGGTTATTCACCAAAAGACCTTACTTAGCCTCGGCTATAGAGCCTCGTTTTCATCATCACCAATCCCCCCACCTCCCTGCTGGGCCAATCGGATATTTACTATATAGTGATGGGGTCTAACCTTTGACACTTTGATAGGATTTGAAAAGTCGTCGTTTTTTGGACATCATTCACGAGCACTTTGAGGTTCATGCAACAACTGGAGGACTAGTATGTATATTTACATATTTTGTTTGCTTGCTTGCTTGTTTGTTTGTTTGTTTGTTTGTTTGTTTGTTTGTTTGTTTGTTTGTTTGTTTGTTTGTTTGTTTGTTTGTTTGTTTGTTTGTTTGTTTGTTTGTTTGTTTGTTTGTTTGTTTGTTTGCTAGTTTAATAAAAAGGAATTCTATTTTGTTTCTGTTCAGTCATTACAACAAGTGAAAACATATCTTCCGCCATATGTCATCAATCATGGCGTGATCAGTGCAGGAACACTGCAGAAATTGTTACAAGAGTCGAAGGTATTATATAAAGGTCAAAGGACACATGAGAAGTAGTTTGCTTTGTTTCCGGGGCTTCGATGGCGCAGTCGTCAGAGGCTCAGAGCAAGCGCCTTTCACTTCCGAGATTATTGGTTTGATTCTCGCTGCGGTCGACACATGACACTTACCGTATTTACTCGTTTGAGCGCCGCCCCCGATTGAGCGCTGCCCTCGAATGAGCGCCGCATTTGAGATCAAATTTTTTTAAAGAGCGCCGTCCCCGAATGAGCGCCGCACTAAACAGTGTAATAATTTTCCACCGTCAAATGGGGACATTTAGTGACAAAGACATTCAAAACTTGTTTATTTTATTGTTAAAAGTTCAGTGATATAATTCACAAATAAAAGATGTTTTTAAAGAGCGCCGGCCCCGATTGAGCGCCGCCCCCGAATGAGCGCCGCATCTGAAGCTATGAAAATTCAAAGAGCGCCGCGGCGCTCAAACGTGTAAATACGGTACGTGAAAAGAGTCCGTCAACGCTTTGGTGAAACTCGTGGATTTCCTCACACAGGAAATGTCGGCAGGGTGGATTGGGATAAACCTCATACTGACCCTTCCACCGTAGACTTGTTCCGTGATTAGGACATGAGTCGTAACGTGGCTGCCAGAGGCGCCCTTTGAAAGCCTTCGACTTGATCAAATCAAGCTGCGTCCTTCGTAACAGGCCTTTCAGCTGCCCTTTCAGGGGTCTGCTTGAGTCGCTTGACAGCTCAATAGGAATATATTTTCTAATAGATGAAGGTAGTTGGATGTGTTGTATGAAGGTGGGGCCATTCACCTTTGAACATCCGTGATAAATGTATCTTTAATCTTTATATTTCCTGCGATATGTGGTATACGGGGATTTGAAATAAGTATTTGTAATTTCGTAGATTTTTGTTGGTCTTGGATTTCCTTACGAAGGCCCAGCACCATTGGAAGCCATTGCTCAAGGATGTTTCTTTCTGAATCCCAAGGTTCGTAACACATGAAGTGATTGTCCGGTCCAGCCAGTTCTGAAGTCGGGTGGTCATGAAGCTTTGGTCATGGTTTGACTAAGTACGCTATCACTACTAAGTACGTTAACATCACTGCACCAGGGCACTACTCTGTAGCCTTGCTTGACAATTTCACAATCATGTTAATTTCTCATTTTCTCTCTATTTGAATATTGTTTTCTAAGGCTTGGGGTGCGCAACCATCCCCCCGCCCCCCCCCCTCCCCTACTAGAAAGCTGTCAAATACTCTTGGATGAAAGCGACGGTATAAGCAAGTTGGCGTCCGACTTTTCATTGACATAAAATTTCCTTTGTAGTTTAAATCTGCAAAGAGTCGTATAAATACACAATTCTTCAAAGGAAAACCCACATTCAGAGCAGTAAGTGCAAAGCTTTCTAGAATTATATTTTCTAGTTTAAGTATTATTCTCTACAATATTGTTTTCTCAACTGCAGCTCAAGTCGCAACATTCCTATGCAGAGGAGTTTATTGGGGAACCTCGAGTGTTAACTGTGGATATTGATGATGCTCAGGCAGTAAAAGGAGCAATCGAGAAGATTATAAACAGCGAGGTATAATATTCTTCAGATATTGCAGATGTACATAAAATTGCATTTGAATTGTCTTGTAGAGCAATTTTAGGGGCTGATTACATGGACGGGTTGTCCTTGCAGCTAAGCGAGTTGACTCGCTTTGCCGAGTTGACCCCGCCTTGCCGAGTTGACCCCGCCTTGCCGGGATCGCGGCTGTAGCTTGCCGAGTCAACTCGCTTAGCCGGGACAGAAATTGCCCACACATCCCATTGTAATCGCTTTTTGCCGAGTTGGTTCGGCAAAGCGGGCTGAAAACCACACTTATGCATGTTTTAATTTCGATTATACGTACAAATATAAGTTAAAAAAACTTCAAATAACATCAAAATGATATTAATGAACGTTTTCAAGGTTTAGATAGGAAGCGACACAATTTTGTTAGAATACAAACAGTATAAGCCTGTTGGACCAACTTGGGATCAGCGCTTAGTATAAATACCTCAACCGACAACATTCAGTGGGTAAAGTAGTCCTCAAATACAACAAATACACAATTTTAATCGATTTCTAACACCGAGTATTAAATTGTTAAGCATTACCAATCTTAATGAGCTACTTCTGCCGGGTTAGCGCGGTGCATGTAATCGCAATTCAAAAGTCAACTCGCTTAGCCAGGACTACTCGACAAAGCGGGACAACTCAGCCCATGTAATCAGCCCCTTATGGATCTGCTGTTCTTTGAAAAACTATAATAAAAGAAACAAACCTTCAAAATATGACCATGTCAGGATGGTCAATGTAGAGAGCACATAACTTCAACGACCATGCAGGCGTTTCGCGGCAACTGCAATCAAACATGTTTTTGCTTTTTCGTGTAGCCTTCACCATACTTGCCTTTCGAGTTCACCCACGAAGGAATGTTGGAACGTGTCAATGCTTTGCTTCATAATCAGGTATATGACTACGTTTTGACTGAATTATTTTGATAACCACGCATATGGTAGGTAGACAGAGGAAGGACAGATAAATACTGAAGTGGGAAAAAAACTGCCTGTCTTTTATGTAACGGAAAAATGAGAGCGCTTCGTTTTTTTACAGGATTTCTGTTATCGAGACAAACCATCGTGGCCTCCTCTAACATCGAGGACTGTTGTCACTGGACGTGAAGGACAATCGTGCAAGGATGCTTGTCTTCAAAAAGGTAAGAATGAAAACACAAGTTGAATATATGTTTTGGCTTAGTTGGATTTCATCTCATTCTCTTTTTTCCACAGATCTGGTATGCGAACCTGCATATTTTGAAAGCATAAACAACGCAGTATTCCTAAAGAAGTAAGTGGATTTTTCGTACCAAAATATACGCCTGTATTGTAAAAGCTCACTCGCACTCAAAGAGTGGAGGTTCAATCTGAGTTTCCCTTGAGTGTCAGTGTTGTTTTTGAATAGCTGGAGGGTTGGTCTCATACCTTACTATGTGACCACTCACCCTCCAGCTACTCGAAAACAGCACTGACACTCAAGGGAAGCTCAGATTGAACCTCCACTCTTTGAGTGTGAGTGAGCTTTCAAAATACAGGCGATAGGCTTGTAGCTATTTTATCCTAGTCTCTCGGCCATATAATAGTCCAGCCTTCCAAGCAGTGTGGATTATAACGGTCGGCAATCGGCTATTTGCCGAACAAAAACACCAAATGGCCGATCAATTTCATTTTGTCCGATCAAATAAAATACACCACACTGTTCATTTAAATTGAAGGTAGTTTATGTGAAAAGTACTGTTTGAAAAGCATCTAACTATGCCTACGATACCGTGGAATCAATAAATATTTGGATGAAAAAATCACTCCGAGGAAACATTGTCATTGAGCTTCTCTTTTAGCAAATACTCTCTCAAGTGACCGAATCTCGATAGTTACAGTCCATAGCCGGCGGCGTTTACAATACTTACTACTTACAAAAATATGTTTCATTTCTATACACCCTTTTCATAAATGGCTGCCGATTAAAAATTCTTTTATGTGCATATAAATTGGCCCAACTAGCCTCGTACTCATGTTAAGATTTCAAAAGAATTTCTACCCAGAAACGAGGCTAGTTGGGCCAATTTATATGCACATAAAAGAATTTTTAATCGGCAGCCATTTATGAAAAGGGTGTATAAGCCGTAGGCCTAGCTATATATTAGTAAATACCTTTATTTCCTAAAGAAACACAAACAAAGTGAAGGCGCGAAGGACGTTGCTAGTTGGCGTACGCCAAGCTTTTTTCTGCATGCAAATGTGCAATCAATAATGGTACGTCGATCTGTAGCACTGTCACGTAAAAATGGTTGAAATAGTTGGCTGATCATTCTTGGCCAATGTCCGAGCAACAGTCTCGTTAATCGGACATTTGTCAGACCTAAGCAAAAACGTTATAATCCACGCTGCTTCCAAGCGTTCCCAGTTCCACTCCATCAAATACGGCATATTTTCTCCATGTACTCCTGAGCTTTCCCCTGTAGTAATATGACACTAATACTGGGCCAACAATGGGTGTTCCTAACTGGACCTTCTTTAGGGAGAACAGTTTAGAACTGATGGAGCTTCAAACCGTTATTAAATAGCGTTTAGTTTGATTTAATTTAATTTCATACATTTTGATATTTCAGAGCATCGTTTCCATGTCACACCATGACTGTGACGAGAGGTTCGCTAGTAGCACCAGCCTATCTTGGGCAAGACAATAGTTGCGTTTTACAAGCAATTCCTTTGCTCTACAGCTGTACTGCGTATCACCAATCTGTCAAGAGAATATGTCCATGTAGGAATTACAGAAAAGGTCAAGTTGCATTATGCAAGACGTGCTACTGAATAGAGGCCTGATATTCATATTAGACTGAACACGGCCATTGAAGGCAGGTCCTAAAGACACACATACGAAGGTGGCACCATTGAAGAAACTGTAGGTTCTGTCTGTTATGAAATAATGGAGGTAGGATCTGAACCAAATCGGTACTGTGCAAGCGAAAGAAACTACAAGTACGACGATGAATTGGTGAAAACTTCAGAAATGTTAACATTTATAACCGGCATTATATAGCAGGTTGATCAAATCAGTCTGCCGCACGATCGTGCCTACAGCTTTGGAACATTATTGGGAACAAAAAATAGATGATTGTCTTATAAAGGCAAAGACAAAATATGAAAATTTTAATGAATATAGTCACTAATGTGCAAGCAAAGCTTCCTCTGTTCCACGAATGACCAGAGAAACATTTTATTGTAGAAAGAAGATACAGACATAATCACGTTCAATAAGTTGAACTTTAAAATAACACATAATGTAAGTTATTTTAATCTTTAAATTTATTTATGCATCACAAATAAAACCTCACTGATAAAATATTCTTGGATTGATTGGTTTTCTGTCTTGGTCTTGGGCTAGCTGTGCGAATGCTGAGCCCCCGATCTTTACCATTAGGGTAGTAATACTTCGTGTAAACATTTTCGAAGTACTCATTAGTTTAAATCTGAGACGAAGCATGTTTGTTTTGTCTGTGAAGATTTTTTGAATTTTTTTTTAAATATTGATGGCTGAGATACTGTTTTGTGATGAGAAATAGTTTCCTTATATGAGTGATCTAGATCACAATGATTATATTGTAGTGTTTTTGAACGAACAGACACTCGGCTTTCATCATTTTGTGGTATGAAATTTGTTGTGTCACTTGTGTGTTTGTAAAATGTGTCTTGATCGTACATTTTGTTTGCTATGTTGAGCTACTTTTGGTTGTAGAGTATTTGTGTTTGTAGAGTGTTTTATGTAGTTTTGTTATTCGGGTTATGAGAGGTTGTTGGGTTGGTTGTGTCATGTGTGGTGTCTTTCATACCATATTTTTCTCAGTTTATGATGAGCAGTGTTCAACAAAGAGATTATAAACTCTTGTTTGGACTATCTGAAACTGAGTTTATGCAGGCAAATGGGTCATTCCAGAAAAGTATACATTCCCCTTACGAAGGATGTTTCTGCCATCCAGACTGGGAGAGGGCAAAATCATCTGACAATAGTAAAATGTAGGATGTCCTGTGAGGCAGGCAGGCTCTGATAAGGCTAGGGACCAGGGTGCATTTCATGTAAACTCTGCTGAAAACACAGAATAAAGATCAGTAACAGAAGGGCCACTCAGCGGTGCAACGTGTCCTCATTTTTTTATGCAAAAATATGCAGTTTACTGGTCAGAAGGCGGAGCAGCCAGCAAGTACAGCATGTTTATTGGCCAGAAAATGTCATTGACTGGCTAGAAAATGGCGGCCAACATGCGTCATGCGACATGCGCGAGGACAGAAACTTCAAAGCTTCCGACGTAAGTAGCCCTTCTATATGGATCTTTATTCTAGATGCCAAAGATACACCAATATTAACTATAGATAGTATTGTAATTTTCCAAACTCACACCGAAGATCTTCGGCATAGGCCATTTAAACTTAACACCCTGGGCTAGGGGGCTTGACTTTCAATTTCCTCTGTGAGGGAGGTGTGGACATTTTCTGCAATGACACAGCAGTTGCTGATAAAACATTGCCATTGTCTATACTCGTGTCATTTGAGACATGTGTCTGTCAATCATGTTTATGCTGATAACCTCGGCTAATTATTGAAAGCTTTCTTGCAAACAATGAAGTTTTCATGGAAACAGACAATGTTTTTATTTGCAAATGTTTTCTGAAGCAGTCCAGCTCCTAGCCTCCTCTGCAGGCATTTCACCCGAGGAATCAGGTGCTCGGAAAAACCCATGTGGAGGAGGCTATCCAGCTCCATATAAACAGCCGCTGAAATATACTCGAAATCATATTACATATGCATGAAATAAATTTATTCAAAATATTAACATAAATTGATATTAAATATTACTATTTCATTGAAAACATATTGTAAATGGTCAACTGTCTGTTTGATTTTTTATGACATTTCTAACATGTTCATCAATAGTCAGTAGTGGATTTGATTTGAATGATGGGTGCCTAAGAACTTGTTGAAATCTCTCCATATCAGACATTCTAAAAGTAAAAAAATAATGATCAGTGATCTCTTTTGATGGATGTCATGTAGTCGATGATATTGGTCATGAGTATTGATGATTACATCAAACTAGGGTTTTGGTTGAACTAGTATTTTGATCAATAATATGGATCATGGGTTTCAGTAATGACATCAAATTTACTAACTGGGCATTTAGTCTTTTTCTTTCACTTGAAGTTGACTTGTTTTGTTTCTTTGTGTTCCTTCTAAGAAAAATACAACCCTCCTCATGAATTAAGTAACTTTTAAGAAAACTAGAAATGGATGGAACACTACCAGGGACGCCGGAACTGGGGGGCAGGAGGGGTAGCCGCCCCCCTTGCCCTTTACCAGGAGGGGCAAGGTGGACAAAGGTGCCCTTTCAATTTAAATGATTGCCTTGGCGAAATAGCGAATTGTCAGAAATGTTAGTGCAATTCTTTTACAAATTTGCTTCCGAAAACGCAAGAAATGCAGTTATAGCACAATCGCCTGGCGGAGACCCCCCTCACATCCAATAAATAGAAAACATGATTAAACGAAGTTCAATTCCCGATGTTTTGCATACATCTTTTTTAGTATATATCAATTCAAAAGTGTCCTTTCACGAAAATCTGCCCCCCCTTGCCTTCACATTGTTCCGGCGTCCCTGAACACTACTATAGAGGTAAGCCTATAATAGGGTGGAGTTTTGTATCAAAAACAACACTTCTTTGGCTGGTCTTGTATGTGCTTGGTGATGGTGGCAGTAAGCATTGGAAAGGATTGCATTGTAGCTGTGACGCGCTCTAACAGTGGGGCGCAACTTGACTGTAGGTATTAGGGGGGTGTGAGTTCTTCTTGCCCGACAAGGGCGTGGTCACCAATCAATCTGCCATGAAATTTGTGAACTTTTCTATCTTTACCTCAGATAACTTCAACTGCTTTGTCAGACATTACGGCCCAACACTAGGCAAAATTTGCTCAACTTTGGGGGTGGTGACACCCCCAACAGTTGCACCCCTGTCTGCCTTACAAGATTAGGGAATTAATTAAGGCCTGTAGCAGAGGTAGATTGTGACTTGGTAGGCTATTCGTCACTCAGCCACAAGGAAGGTAGATTATCACCCAAGCTAACTTACTAAAACACTGCAAGATGCCTTAAGGAAAAAAACATATGTAAAAATGCATGTTTGGTACTAGATCATAGGTGCAGCTCTCGTTCAGACCTTTTCTTTTTATTTGGCTTGATAACTGGCAGTTTATCAATATCCAGTAAAGCCTGGGTCAGTGGATTTAGGTCTCCGGTTATGACTGTCTTTTGTCTTTTCTTGGTTGCCTTGCAACTCTCTTCGACTGTCTTGCTTGTATGAAGCTCTAAATGAATACGAGGCAAGCAAATGATTACAGTCTGATTAAGTCTTTTAGATTGCTTTAATTAAAGCCACACAATTTTCCTTGTCAGACTATTCTCACTTTTTAAGAACTTTTCATGTCTTAATTTTCGTTTGTCTTTTTTAGCGGTCAATTTCTCTTCAGTATTAATCTTTCCACTCTCTTGAGCAACATCGGTAGCATCGTCAATCTTAGCATTTTCTTGTGCCAGTTCAAATAAATTATTTACTGGGAACAAAGCTGGTAAATTTGACTGAAAAGAAAATTGAGAATTTGTAGTAGGAGGGTGTAGGTAGGGGCAGACCTCTGGACAAAACAATTATGGTCATGTGTGTTTAGTGTGGAGGGTGTATTCAAAGACAATAGTGTATTATTGAACATTCTCCTGAAATAGGTTTTAGGGATACCCTAATTGTGCTTGCTAGGGGCGTGGGGTGGGGTACAGCTGCTTTATAAATAGTATAGATAAATGGTTCCAGTTTGCCACACACTGTAATATTGTAGCCTGGCAGCCATTGAGATTTTTCAAATTTGCTTCTTATATTTGACTGTGTGTTTATCCAATAACTTGTGTTAGGGGTGTACCCCCAATTGATTGACTGTCACATCTCACAAAATAAGTTTCCATAAATATATACCTCATTTGGCAAGAACTCTGTCGTGTTGCTGTTATCCTCGCTCGTTTTGTTCTTTACGGCTTCAATATGTCTTTTAGTTCTCACCCTTCGAATCTTCCCCATTTTGTGAGAGAAAATAATTAAAATATTAAACAAGTTTGTATCACAATATATTTGGCAAAAACACCGGTATTAAATAAATAGGCGGAAATTCTCAGACCAACTGTGGAAAATTGAAATTTGGTGTTCAGTCTCGCCAGAATTTATATTCAGTTCCTGGCCAAATATATGTCTAGGGTTCACTATTTGTTTGATAAAAGTAGCTAAAGTTGCTTCTTTCCCAAATCAAAGCAGCCATATTGCCAACACCATCAGACACTTATCACGTGTGTGTTGCCAAAGTGATTGTGTAAATTGAGCCGCTTTGTCTCGAAATTGCATCAAATTTGAATAGTAATATTTGCTTTATCTCTTGACGGCCTATTCCGGTGTCAACAGCAGGAAAGGCAAACGCGGTTTTCGCTTGCAAAATACAACATGTTTGGTGAAAGTCTATGGTGGTTGGGTATAAGACATGTCTAAAAAGAACCCCTAATTTTCGGTGGGAAAAGCCGTAACCGTGCACCAAAATGGACACAAAGAATTTGGAAATACGTAGTAAATCTGTTGAACAGACTTTGATGCCATTAATGTCTCAGGTGGGTAGTAAAATGTCATGCATTACAGGATTTTATACTTTTCTGTTTGGTGTTCTTAGTTTGGGTTGAATGTGAAATAGGTTGATTTTAGTCGAGGTTTCAGTTATCAAGAGTGAGAAAATTAACGTTAATTTTCATTTCATTAGTACATATTACAATGCAGTAATCTTGTATATTTTGGTGACAAATAAATAGAATTGAAAGATTTAGCTCCTCTTGGTGTAAAAATTCAGAAGTTGAATACCATTAGCTGTTCTGTATAAACGCATACTGTAATACTTATGGTAGTTTTAATATGGTAGTATAACTAAACATGTGAAAATTAATTTTTCGTCTTTACTAGATTACAACGCTAATCAATCACAAAAATGCGAGGCTAAAAAGATCAGCACATGCACGTAAAACGCTGCAAGATATTTGCACGAAGTTACGGGAAGCCATTCTATATTTTGTAAAAATTGGCGAAGAGATTGCGAGTGAGAATCCTGAATTTGCTGCAGACATGAGCGAGGCTTGTATCGAGGCGAAAGAAGCGGCTTCTATGATGAGTAGCTTGACAGATATTCCCATGAACAATGAAGGAGACACGGCTGTCACAGACAGAGCAAATATCATTCGTGCCGCTAGAGCACTGCTTGCTGCTGTCACAAGAGTCCTCATTATCACCGACATGGTTGTTGTTAAACGTCTTATCACTGCCGCTCGAAAGGTAGGCTGTATTTATTAAAACTTCAAATATTTATTTATCACCCTAGAGTGGCTACGCGGTGCGCGTAAAACGCTATATCCTTTAAACTAACTCCCGTTCGCGCAAGCAGACAGCGACTGTATATTCTGATAAAACGTGTAAACATTTTGAAAATTTCTTAAATTTTTGCGCCATTGTTTACAATTCTTCAATTCAATATTTTGACCGGAAAATCCATAGTGGCTTCCATTTCACGCTCGAGTAGTTTGTATCATTTACTTTTCCACGGGCATGGTAAACAATCAACTCTATAAATCATACCCAGATACCCTACTAGAATATTGTAGCGTTAAATCTAATAACACTGTTAAATCTACAATGTTATGTGAAAAAACAAAACCGACTTGGCGTGGATTATTTCCTGTGCCAATGTTTGTCCAGATTATTATAAACCTCAGTTGTTTTTACTTGAGTGTTTACAATAATAAATTCAAAAGCGATATTGTGGCTAAGTGTTTATCAATATGCACACAAAGAATTCAGATTATTTTTTAATATTCCCTTTTCCATGAATTATCCTAACACGTTTTTCATTACTTCCCATATAAAAACCACATCAGTTGTGACAAATTGTGACATGTTCCATGATTCTAATGCGCGATGAATTCTAATTATTTCGCTAGGTTTTGACAATGCTAAAACCTCAGGGAGAGACACCAGATAAACAGATGATAGTATCCTCTTTGATGGTGCAAATGATTTCAAGCATATACCCTTTGTCTACAATTCGCAGTCTTTCCCAGTGAATGCGTGCTAATTTCACAAAAAATGCGCGATGTATTCTAATTTTCCGCGGGGTTTTTTTTCACTGTCGCGCCGTTTGCGCGCAACGTGTCGATAAGCGAAGAAAAACAACAGTACGATAGCTGGACTAATGGTGCTCACATTGCTTCATAATATTTGGTAAACTTGAGACATACTGTTTCCTAACTAGACTGCAGATGTTTTCCTAGCTCCCCGTGTGGTCTGGTTTCTTAATAGTAATCTTGTTACGATCTTTAATATGAAGAATTCTCACATTCCAAGAGGTCATGAGCAAGGACACAAGTGTACAAAATAGTCCTAATTAGGCATCTGCTGCTTTTTGTATCATCTCTTAAAATTTTGATGTATCACAGAGAAATGACTATAATTTTTGTTGCCATGAACACATGAACTTGCAGAAAAGTAAAAAAATGCAAGAAATTTCGTTTTATTTCCAAAACGGTGTCTAGACAGACAAGTAGTTAGACCACTACAAAATTGAATTGCATTTTTTAAGTGTTATTTATATTGTTTCCCCATTTTTTGTAAGCAGTACTCCAGTAAGCAGTACACCAACACAGCAAAGTACTCCAGTAGTTTGACAAACAATCATGCAACCTCGTACCTAGGATAGTTTGCTATCAAATCATCGTTATTTTGCAAAACGTTTGTCAAATCCGATCAATAAAAGGCAATAAATTGATCGCAATCAAATTCGTTTGCACGTTCGTATGCATTCTAAACATTCCTTGAGAATCTTCTCATATTTCCATAGTTTAAAGCGCTACTGAATTCTGCCTCCTAAAAATGTCAATTGATTTTTGCAATTTATTGAACAAATCCTATCTTGGTGAAGGTTTACTCGATACAATTATGTAAACCAGACAACACTCTATGTTATATTTTGTTAACGCATATGTTTTCATTGATTATCGTCCACGGGTATATATAACGAAATACCACAGATAACTTATGATATAATTGGGAGATAAAGCCATCTCAATGGGGGTACTGTTTGTCTTTCAAATTTCAATGCTGGATTCCCATTATAAGAAGTATTACACAATCGTAAAGCTTATTTACACTTGTTTTACACCGAAAAAACGTTTGTTGACATTGGTTTTGTTAATTTGCAACAGTTTTGTGATATAATTATTAGACAGTGTTGATCGGTTGAAATGTCCCAAAGCTTCGTTGAAACGAGGCTGACATCTTGGGCCTTATTTCAAACACTATCTTGGGTAATGTTTGCTGTTGTTGGAAGATGTTGGATTGAGTTTGACTTTGTCTTTGTTTAAAATTTCCCTCCAACATTGAAGATGCTGAACTTGTAAAATGTACAAACATATACATAAATAACGGGCAAATGTACAATGATACCCAAGAAGTTGCTTGAAGGATGAAACTAAATAATGTTTGGACGTTTCATGAGAGATTTCTTTCATGAGAGATTTCTTTTTAGCTGTGGTGTTTGATTCCCTTCTCTTTACTTAGATTAAAATTTAGTCTAACATGCAAATTGTCCATTGGTCTCATTTGGCTTCAATCCATGAGCATGTGTTTATATTTTATAACAACGTGATGCCATTGTTAACTCTGAGCAATATAATTAGTTCATTTCCTTTTCAACGTCAAGCTTATTTAATAAAATACGTCGAAAACTTCCTGATTCGCAAAACATTAATTAAACTATAATCCTGTACATAAGAACGCCCACGTCAATGCATTGTAGGGTATAATTAAACCTCTCTGCCATATCTGATCTGAGGGCAAACACATTTTTTGTGACAGATTTTCTTGCCTGCTTCGTCATATGACCAGATTAAAATTCATTTGTGTGCAAAACAACGTTAAAAGCACATGCCAAAATATGTTCCAACTTAGTGACATGCGTATAAGTAATGCAGTTCGGCATATGTCGACGTCGTATTTTTTGCGCTAATTTTCATATTCGTTTCTTCAATTTATACACTAATATTTATCTTCCTAATCCTTGAAATCCTTATCGCAGCTATCGTAGACGTGATGTTATTTTGGGGTACTCTGGTTTGAATTCCTGAGCAAGTTAAATTCACGACCTAATGTTCCAACACTTCGGTCTAGTGTCTTCACCATGGGTGAAGAAACAGCCCTAAAAACTCCCTGAATTGAATCCACAAAACTCTTACAAATCTTCAGTGATTTGCCAAATTCACCCTAATATATCTTCGCCTTGCACCCCGCCCTTGCTTGCCTTCTTGTTACGAACCAAGAACCATGTTTAAATACGACAACGTTTATTGGAATTGTTAGGTTGATGAACGGCTTCAAGCGTTAGAGAGTGTAAATAACTTCACTGAGTTTGTTCAAGCATTCAGTCATTTTGGTGCAGATATGGTGGAACTCGCTCATCTGTCTGGTGATAGACAAAATGTAGGTTGCCTTTAATAGTAGTGTTCATTAACCAGCCATGGCGGTCTACATTTTTCAGACATTGACTTTTCAAATGTTCAGATCCAGTGTATGTAGTATTGGTAGCCTAAGAAGATGAGAATGGGGTGCTTGCCTGTTTGTTTGTTTGTTTGTTTGTTTGTTTGTTTGTTTGTTTGTTTTTGTCTGTCCGTCTGGTTATTCGTGTTTGGTGAGGCACTTGAAGAAATGAAAATGATGAATACAACTACATTGTAACTTATTTCTTACAGGATTTGAAAGACGACATTTCCAAAGCTGAAATGTGTGCTGCAAGAACTTTGCTAGAAAAGTCAACCATGATGTTATTGACAACTTCAAAGGTACATTAGTTTTCTCTGGCAACCTCTTCTTCCTATGGAGGTCCAGTATGGATCATCCCTAAGTTTATATAATTAGTTTTCTATTTAAACTGGCAACCTCTTCTTCCTATGGAGGTCCAGTATGGATCATCCCTAAGTTTATATAATTTGTTTTCTATTTAAACTAGCAACCTCTTCTTCCTATAGAGGTTCAGTATGGGTCATCCCTAAGTTTATATAATTATTTTTCAGACGTTTCTTCGCCATCCTGACTCGGGTTCAGCAAAACAGAACAGAGAAGGTGTCTTCCTCAAAATGAGAAGCGCAATGAATACTATAACCTCAGTCGCTCAGAGCAACGCAAGGAGACATGAACCTAGGAAAGGACAACTCATATTGGATCTTAAAAGCTTTGATGTAAGAGTTTCTTTCCATGGCTGGTGCTGTACAATATGTAGACCTCTTCCCTCCCCAGAAGATTCTTCAATGCGGTTTGGTGCAAATGGGACCGAAAACTATCCTTTAGTCGCCCACATGGCTACCAGTAAATAAGATTCTGTCGCCAAATTTAATATCAATAACAAGATCAAGTCGCCCTATTATCTTAAGTTTTTTTCTAGAACACCAAGAAGCGGCTACGTCGCAACCGCCAGCTCGCGCATTTCAACCCCTGCTCGTACTTACTCAAAACTTGAATAATTTTCTGTAGCATGTGGTAGAGAAGATAAAGGCGAAGGGTGATCTTAATAATCCTGAACTAAACAAAAGATTAGAAGAAGGTTTAACACGAATATTGGAAGATTCAAGGACGATAGCTGGTGCGCCTCACACCAAGTCTGAAAAGAGAGAAAGTATTTTAGCTCTTTGTGAAAACGCCGAGGATGTATTGCAGGATCTCACTTCTACGGTAAAATACATTAGTGGGTGATTCCAGCTACAGTCTAAATTTTGACCAAGGCAAGAAGAACGAAATCCAACATCACAGCTAGAAAGAGCATCTTAGAATGAGTAAAACTGCAAAGATTGGTTGCGAAATGTTTTAAAATGAAGAAAATATAGCCCTGTGAAGTTTGCAAATTTTGTATATATTTGTATTACGCGCGGTAAAAGTGGTTATTTTTCCCTCAAAAGTGGTTATTTTTCCCGCGCGTAATGTAAATATATACAAAATTTGGGAACTATAGAGGGAAAGATAGTCTCAACCATGCAGTTGTAACCAAGATTGTAGATATAGAATATGGCGGCATCTCTCAGTGGGTAATATTAATTTCTTATTTTTATCTTTGTCCGTAGAAAGAAGAGAAGGATGATAAACAAGACTTAACTTTACAAAGAATAAGTAAATTAACTAAAGATCTGAAAACAGAGGTAGAACAACACATTGCTATTGAAAATTCATATTGAGAGAACACAGTCGGGAATCAAATTTTTGCCACGGGCCCCGCGAAACGTTAATCCAGCTCTGTTATAGCCACAAACTCGGTTTTAGTATAGCTTGTAGACCCAGTTCCATTTTAATTTCACGTCATGATTTCAGGTACAGCAAGCAGCAAGTGACCAAGTTTTTGAAACGTTCTCTCACTTGGGACACAAGAAATCGTTGCCTGCGATGCGGGCGGCAGCGTCAACGGGTAACAGTGCCCGTGTCGATGAACTTGCTGAACTCTTTGTACGGGATGTTAAAAAATTACTTGAAGTATCCAAGGTTGCGAGAAATTTATCGGCGAGTGAACCGATTGCACTCACAGCAGAGAAAGTGGAAGAAAATATAGAAACATTGTGCCCTCATGTAAGTAAGCTGTTTTATTCTCTGATCTCATAAGTTCGTCTTAGTCCCATGTAAAAAGAATGCTTTCAGTTTGAATCCGTGCAGGGTTTTGTGATGAATGTGTTTTTCTTTGTTTTTTTAAGGTAATCGAAGCAGCGCGGACGTTGGCTCACCATCCAGTCAGTAAAATAGCTCAGGAGAACTGTACAGTATTTATAGACATTTGGGAATCCCAGGTTGAGGAGCTTGGTAAACTATTACGGAGTATTATCAGTGGAGGTGACCTCAGACGAAGTAAGTACTATGAATAAACGGCTCATAGATAGTGGTTTTGAAATACACGTCCTTTGTGGTAAATTCTCGCTATAGTCTAAACTTCAAACTGTTGGTTCTTAGTGCAGGTGGTTACAGTATGGTATTGCAATACAGTACACGTCTTTTGTGGTCGATTCCGGCCCACTAGTCTAAACTTCAAACTGTTGGTTCTCAGCGTAGGTAGTGGTCTTGAAATACACGTCCTCTGCAGTTGTGATAGATTCTCACTAGTCTAAACTTCAAACTGTTGGTTCTCAGTGTAGGTAGTGGTCTTGAAATACACGTCCTTTGTGGTAGATTCCAACCAGTCTAAACTTCAAACGGTTGGGTTTCAGTGTAGGTAGTGATCTCGAAATACACGTCCTTTGTCGTAGATTCTTGGAAGCCTGAATCAAATGATTGGTTCAGAGCATAGTTGAATTGAGTGTTAAATTAGGTAAAGTCTTGATTGTCAATGAGCTATATTGAGAGATTTAGATATTTTTCACGGCAAACGGGGCGCCAATTGACTAATTAATAATTTAACTAATCACTTATAAAGGTCACAATGATTATGTTGAGTTTTATTTGAAATCAGTGTCTGTGATTTATAATACTACTACTTGTCTACTACTACTTGTCTTGTCCTGTCGTTTTAACGGTTTTGTTGCCACCGTAGTTTCACAGTAAGCGTCCACTCTTGACGAAATCTAAAATTGCTCAGGATTTTCAACGATGGTGGCGTACGGAATTTTTTATCGTTTGAAGAAATACGGAAATTTTTCTTGAGAAGTGGATGTTTATTGCTGATATTACGGTGAGTAGCATTCAACCTCTACTTATACATTCATGTACGGATTCCAGCAAGCTAGTACCGAATCTTTTTCTACACGTAATACTATAAAACGTTACCCAATCGATTTGAGTACGAAACCAATCGCGATCATGTCAATTTCTTTTGCGACGTGTGGTCATACTACTTTCAGAACAACACGATCGATATACTAATTCCACCATGATCAAGTAGTTTCCACCTATATTAAACGATTTCACTCGATAAAAACTAATTATTGAAGAGTTTTTTTTATGCAAATTTCGAGTTTGAATCTTATACATTTACACTCGAGATTTACATCAATAAAACCTTTCAACAATTAGTTCTATTTAGCGAGATGCCCAACGACCTGATATTTATCCATACACCGTACACCATTCACCATACATTGACATCATCACCTTAGGCTTAGTGTATATATATATATACATGAATTTGCGCTTAGAGCTCGATAACTGGACTGTGTAGCTCAGTTGGTCAGAGCCTTGCACCAGAACCGTAGGTGTAATATAAATGTATAAATTAAGACTCGAAATTTCCAACAACAAAACCATTCATAATTAGCTTTCCACTTGCCTGTTAGCAGCATCACTTGAAGGACATCGTTCAATTTTTACAATCCACCTGAGTATATAAATCCCAAAATTTGTAATCTTCATTTTTAGGGGAAGTTGGTCGATCCAAAAAAGGAAATGCCGCGAGTCCATATGCAACATTGTAGCTTGCAAAATCACCGAGTTATGTCTTATGAAAATATCGGTGATGATCTATCAAGATATTATCAAAGATTTCGCACTGATGATGATCTATGGAGAACAGTTACGATGCTGTGTTGGATCTTTCATAGATATTTATACAATAACAATTTAGGAAATAACAACTACTATAGGTTTAATTAATAATGTAAATCACAAAATATTTTTGATATGTATGTCACAAATTTTTAATATGTATATCACAGAGACTTTTATAATTATGCAAGATGTAGATGTAGACTGTATTCTAACAAATTTTTAACCACAGAAAATATGGTATAGTTAGCGTTGAAAACGTTGTATGATTTTTCTCTAAAAGTCGTCTATCATATAAATATAGATTATAAATTATAAATAAATTTATATATCTGTAATAGTACTGGTTATAGTTGCAATAAATATTCACTACTGTTCCTGTTATGGGTTAGATGTTGTCTGTGGTTCTATGGCCCTATATGTAGTGCAGCACCTTATATAAAGACATGCATGCACACGGGGTTATATATACCAACAATCAAATTGCTTCGCTGTTTAAAACACCTTTGCCCAATTGTCTTCTAAGCAGCTTTTTTGTTATTTACATAGTGGAGAATAAACTGACAGTTGAAAAAGACACTTTCCCTTCAAGAATAGATCAAATGTTGGTGAGTACAAAATTTCGGTGGCTGTCACTAAGTCTATATATGGGACAATATATACAGCATGCAATATTTTTCATGTTGATGAGCATAAACATTAAAAGAACGGGGTCCTGATTACATGGACCATAGTCTTTCAAAACATGGTTTGGAAACTCCGCCAAAGTCTTTGTTCTATCTTTTTGTTCGCGTTTATGCAGTTTTGTGGACGGTGCACGGTCAATGAACACATTGTGTTTCAGTATAATGAGCGAATCATCCAATAGCAACGTTTCAGTTTAGTCATTCAACCATGCTATTTAAATAAATAAACCTAAAACAAAGTATGTGCACAGTGTAAGATACGGCTCAACATACAGTAAACTCCCAGCTCAGTATAACCGCTTTGAAGTTTACTGAGGTTCCAGCTATAGACCATGTCTCGAAAGACTATGCATGAACAAAGCACTAGAATACATTGTCTTTACGTTTTTTCAGAAACGAGGTTTGAAACGTGAATCACCTGCTACTTCAGACAGTGAGGATGAAAGTGAGAAATCTAGTCAACAAAGTTCAATGGTAAATGTTGTCAGCACATTTCGACAGGGTCAAAGTGTTTCCTCTGTCACATGTGAGAACTGAGAAGAGCCTGTTTACTTCCAGTTTGACTCTCTCTGGTACTGCAGTTCCCCTCTGTATAGTAACATTGGATCAGTCAATCTCAAACTCATTAATACTTCATGAGTAAATTATCCAAGCATACTGGATACCTGATAAAGTATATTGATCCAGTCCTAGGACCTTAGGTCCTTAATTCAGTCCTCGGACTGTATCAAAATTAAAAGTAATTTATTCGTATGAGATGTCATTTCAAATCCTCCAATTCGGACTGGACTAGATTTCGGGTCCTGGCATTTTCATCCAGAAATCTAGTCCAGTCCTCATATTCGGATTTGACATATTGCTTAACGGATGGATCTTTATGGAGAACCGTTTAGAACTGAAAGAGGTGTCCAGTCTATAAAGAGGTTATTTTAACCTAACTCTTGACGAAGGGCCTTCGCTCGAAACGTCGAGTTTCTACTTGTTTTTTAGGTAGTAATATAACCACTCAGCACAGCATTTTCACATTGGTACTACCAATACTGGTACAGACTATTTTAGTTTAGGTTTCATTCTGCGTAGCAATAAGGGTTCCATTTGCCTTCACTTGGGACAAAAGTCCAGTATAACTTTACAAATAAACTCAAACAGTATGTTGGAAAGAAGAATAATAGAATGCGTGTTTTTCAGGAGCAAGAGAAATTGATAAAAATCATCGAAGATATCGAGTCTCTGACGATATCCGCCGAGATGAATGGTCGTGACATCGATCCACTGCACGAGGAAGCCATGAGACGAGCCAGGGAAATGTCCACGATAGCTGAAACTATGAATAAATTTCTCAGGGGAGAAGGCAGGATCCACTCATCAGAAGAGTTGTTTTTTGAAGCGCAGGTGTGGTGCAACACATTTGTATAAATATGATGTCTTCACCTCCCCAAAGTTAATCTCAAAGTTTACAATGCTAGGTCCAAAACTGACGTCAGAGCCAACATGCTTAACAAATTATTTTACAATTTTGTGTAGCGTTTTGCAGACGTGGGACGAAAATTTCATAAGTTGAGCACACAATTTCTTCTTCAGGTATGTTGAAATTGTCTTGTAGTTTTGTCCACAATTGGTCATTGTTAATATCTTCTCGTATTCTTCAATTTACAACCGCTCCTTCCTGTAGCTGCCAGATGTACTGCCTAAGAAACAGCTAGCGCCATACATCGACCGTATCCCTGGATATTGCCAGCAATTAAACTTTGCAAGTAAATCGTTTGCCGTCGGACAGTCTGCCACATATATAAAGGTATTGTGAAGAAAATGTAATGTGTAATAGTCCTACATTGTTCTTTCTGTGCATGTGTGATTTTCATTTAATGAACGATTATAGTGACTGGATGATTGTCGTTGTTATACTGGACCATCAATCTTAATAGCTTTGTTCTTACATAGGCTGGAAGTGCTATTCATCTCACGAGAAATATCTTGAAAATTATAACAAGAATTTTAAAAACCTTTCATAACCTAACCGTAGAGGTATGTATATTCTTATGAATGCTATGATAAACTAGATAGCTCTGTCAGTTGTAAACTGTTGTCTTTGGTGGTCCTGTAAGGCCATTCCATTCTGGTCCGATGTACCTGCAAGAGGAAACCAGAATACCAGCCTGGAAAAAACCTGTCATGTTTGACTGAGTCAGACTGGGCCGGGAGCACTCCTCTGGGGGGAAATTACAATCTGAAATTACAATTGAACACTGCAGGAATCAAATAACTATAACCACATTACACATAAACTGTATGCAATTCAAATTTTAACAACAACTTTTTTACTATGATGTTAATTTTCAGGGTCCAGAACCTGGCTTATACTGTCCAAGTTGGACCTCGGATTTCTCTGATGTCTCTTCCATATCCTCGTTATCCTCAACGCCATTCACATCCTCTCTTACCCCTGAACCACCTCCATATCCAGCGAGCATCTCTGATATTGAATCGGACATAGATTCTGTCCATGACCAGACTTTATAGGAAAAAAACGTATTTAAATTGCTGCTTGCATGTCTACGAGATGCAATTGATATTATTGGCATGATAACAAGTTCTAACCATAGATATCTTATATACACTAGATAGTGCTGTGCATCTAATTATTCGGCTGAAATTCAAACATTGAAGCCGTGATTGCAGTCTCAGGTCGTTCCCATAAAATGAGAAGATTCGTATGTTTTCTATTTCTTAAACAGGGAACTGAAACATTAAGTTAACCCTATTCCAAATAGGTTTTTAAACTATTGAAATGATGAAAGTTATTGTTGTTTTTAAGCGTTTATTAGCAAGTGGGAACGACCAACATGGCCGCCATCTATTCAAATGGAGGTAACCGCTGGAACATTCTTGGCTTCAATTTTACTAAAAGATATGCGCTATCTAGTGTATATAAGATATCTATGGTTCTAACGGTCCGCACACACGCAAATGTCTCGCATCTGTCCATCTTGTACCAAGTCTGCCAACAAGTTGTCTTCGCACTGCTTGTCCCAAGTTGTCAACAAGTGTTTTTAAACAACTTCTGTTGAGATTATCAGACTTGTTGCAAGGTTGTTCCAACAAGTCCAATACAGTCATGAATCTCACGATATAACAATACTGTTACAACCTTGTGTCATGATGTCATCAACCGTGTAACATTCTTGTTATATCATGACTGTATCAGATTTTTTAGAACAACTTTTCTCTACAAGTCTGATAATGCCATCAACTTGTTACAACAACTGGGCTGTAACTGTCAACTACTGAAAAAAATACAAACAGAACTTTGAAGTTCCGAGCGAAGGGAAATTAGCTACTTTTATTATATGGCTTTGCAGAATCCTTGATTCTGATTGGTCGACGTGCGGTCCGTAAAATGCGTATCCAGACCGTGGTACGTATGACAATTTGACAGGCTCGAATTAGAAACGTTTTTACACGTTTATAAGGTCGTTATGTGAAGAAAAAGTATCCTTGGATCATTTTTAAGAATAAGAAGTCTTGGAAATATTAATAAGTACTTGTACCAACGCAAATTTCATCGAAAAAGCTAAGAAAACAAGCCGTTTGAACTCTTACTGGCAACCGTAAGTTCTGGCGGGAAAGTTTTTTGATTTGCTTTACTTGTTTCAAAAAATAAATGAAGATGAATTTAACGTCTTTAATACCATATTCTAAACAAATATCATATAAACTGGGTTTATAAGCATTTTTTCTGGGTGTGGGGGTTACCGAAAAAGTAGTTCTAAACTAAAGCAATTGTTATACATGCTTTTCCGTAAACAATATTCGGTGACGAAACCAAATCTGAACGAAGAAAACTAGCAAATAAAACATAGCTCAAAAATGCCTTTATAGCGCTCAAACAAATATATGAAAATCAGAAAATGTGTTTAAGGAGCCATATAATAAACGGTTTATTAACCTCGTTTTGCTCGGTCTGTATGGGAAAGTAAGCCTATTTGCCTTAGGCAAATACTTTCCCGTACAGACCTCGCTCTCAGTATTTTTCTGCTAGTTGTACAGGGTGTCTAAAAAAAAACGCTATGCAAATTCAACAGGCTATCGTGCATTAATTTTTACATAGGACGAAAGAGCTGTTATTTATCTTTTCAACACTACCTTTTTTAGATCGTAACGATGAGAAATGGCCACATAGGCCTACTCGTCAAATAAAAATTGCCGGTGAAAATCACATTCTTCCACCGTTGGGTATTGAAAAACATTAATTATGCAAAATTAATCAATCCAAAAGCATGCAACGCGAGTCTGCTGCAAGCTACTGGCATTTGACAATTTGTTTCGTAAAACTTTGATTTAATACGAATGTTAATGTGCTCTGTTCAGTGGTTAATTAACCATGTCCATGTTTAATGACGTTCTTTTTATAGATAATTGAACATTCGATTTTAATTCCCTCTTGGGAATTGTCTATGACAAGGTTTTCCATGCAACTCCTAACGGGCAACGGTGGAAGAATGTGATTTCGACCGGCAATTTTTATTTGACGAGCATGTGGCCGTTTCTCATCGTTACGATTTAAAATGAGTATCATTGTAAAGTTCCAAGACCCGCCATGTAAAGACTAAAGTGTAGTGAAATGCATCTCAGTACTAATCGTAATCACGGAGGAGAGAGGTAAAGCTAAATAATTGTTCTTTCGTCCTATGTAAAAATTTAATTGTTTAGTTAAGCCGGTTACAGACGAGCACGTTTTCTATGACAAGTTTGTATGTGACAAGTTTTATTTCCTCGACGTCTGTACGCGCAACTTTGACATTTTTTCTATGACAACTGCACTTGTTCAAAAGCTAGCATGCTAGCTTTTGAACAAGTGCGCTTGTCATAGAAAAAATTGTCAAAGACCAAGTACAAATTTTGTTCGTCTGTATGGGCCAACAAAGAAAACTTGTCAAAGTAATCTGAGCATTTGATGCTATTGGCCATTGGACTATTATAAATATAATTTTTCTGTTATGGCGGCGATAAACACCTTTTTCTGACACGTTTACACTAGTAAATAAAACTTGTCATATGAAAACTTGTCATATAAAATTTGTTGCATATACACACGTGCACTTGGCAAATAAAACTTGTCACATAAAAACTTGCCATAGAAAACTTGTTCATCTGTAACCGACTTTAGTTAAGTTTGACAGTTTGTGATGCATGCACCATCAGCACAGCCTGTTGAATTACCATAGGCATAGCGTTTTTTTACATACCCCGTATATTTCTCAGCCCACAGATGTCATGATATTAACAAGTTGTCGTGACTCCTTGTTAAGTTGACAAGAAGCTGTGACAACTTGTAAACCAGCTAATAATCCTCATACTGAGGGGTGTGCTGTACTGGAAGATAGATAAACCACGAGCCGGGAACAAGCAGTACGAACCTAATATCGACCTGTCCTTCAACAAGTCTGCATGCAAGCTCGCAACAAATTGCGTAACTTTTACGTGTGAAAGAATAGAAAAATAGCATACGTTCCAAATCGCAACCACAGAAGAATCGCCATGTTTTTGTAATACATAAAATATTTCCCGCGTATATAATATAACTGATACTGAGAAAACTTGTAAAATACAGCTAGTATTAATATGCCTGCATCGCATTATATAATTCTATACGTATTTAATATTTTAAAAATTTAATACACCTTCAAGTACAAAAGGTCACTAAGAACTATTATACTTAGAACTATTATAATTACAACTTTTATATCGCAAAAGAGCCATTAGCATTGTGCTCTAATATGGGCCAATAATGGGCTGCAGAAAAACAATTTTTTGCTACAAATTCAAAAAATACAACTTGTCAACAGCATAACCATACAATACCATATGCCGAAGACATTCATCGAAATAACCATTCAACTTGCATGGATGGTTATGCCGTTGACTGTCTTCGGCATAACCATGCAACTTAGATGGTTATGCCGTTGACTGTCTTCGGCACAACCATCCAAGTTGAATGGTTATGCCAAAGACAGTTAATGGCATAACCATCCAAGTTGAATGGTTATGCCAAAGACAGTTAACGGGCATAACCATCCAAGTTGAATGGTTATGCCGAAGACAGTCAACGGCACAACCACCCAAGTGAATGGTTATGCCAAAGACAGTCAACGGCATAACCATCCAAGTTGGATGGTTATGCCGAAGACAGTTAACGGCATAACCATCCAAGTTGAATGGTTATGCCGAAGACAGTCAACGGAATAACCATCCAAGTTGAATGGTCATGCCGAAGACAGTTAACGGCATAACCATCCAAGTTGAATGGTTATGCCGAAGACAGTCAACGGCATAACCATCCAAGTTGAATGGTTATGCCGAAGACAGTTAACGGAATAACCATCCAAGTTGAATGGTTATGCCGAAGACAGTTAACGGCATAACCATCCAAGTTGAATGGTTATGCCGAAGACAGTCAACGGCATAACCATCCAAGTTGAATGGTTATGCCGAAGACAGTTAACGGCATAACCATCCAAATTGAATGGTTATGCCGAACATATACAACGGCATAACCATCTAAATTGAATGTTTATACCGAACATATACAACGGCATAACCATCTAAATTGAATGTTTATGCCAAACATATACAACGGCATAAACATCTAAATTGAATGTTTATGCCGAACATATACAACGGCATAAACATCTAAATTGAATGTTTATGCCGAACATATACAACGGCATAAACATCTAAATTGAATGTTTATGCGGAACATATACAACCGCATAAACATCCAAGTTGAATATTTATTGATTGAGATCACTAGTTCAGATCAATGCAGTATCTTCGTGAACACGTGGTACAGTGGTAGAAACCACACACGTCAAATGCGTAATGGATCGATTCTCGCCGAACAATTTTTTATATTTTCGCACACAGAAATATTCGGAAATTACTAATTCATTTTTTTTCTTCAAAAATATTTCCTCAGGTTGAAAGCAAACGGTATATTCCTACTTACTTTAGCCAAATAATTATGCGCAACATATTCAACGCCATAAAGATCTGAGTAGAACGGCTATGCCGAACCGAGTCAACGGCATAACCATCCAAGTTGAATGGTTATGCCGAAGGCAATCAACGGCATAACCATCCAAGTTGAATGGTTATGCCGAAGACAGTCAACGGCATAACCATCCAAGTTGAATGGTTATGCCGAAGGCACTCAACGGCATAACCATCCAAGTTGAATGGGTATGCCGAAGACAGTCAATGGCATAACCATCCAAGTTGAATGGTTATGCCGAAGACAGTCAACGTCATAACCATCCAAGTTGAATGGTTATGCCGAAGACAGGCATTGGCATAACCATCCAAACTGAATGGTTATGCCGAAGACAGTCAACGTCATAACCATCCAAGTTGAATGGTTATGCCGAAGACAGGCATTGGCATAACCATCCAAATTGAATGGTTATGCCGAACATATACAACGGCATAACCATCTAAATTGAATGTTTATGCCGAACATATACAACGGCATAAACATCTAAATTGAATGTTTATGCCGAACATATACAACGGCATAAACATCTAAGTTGAATGTTTATGCCGAACATATACAACGGCATAAACATCTAAGTTGAATGTTTATGCCGAACATATACAACGGCATAAACATCTAAGTTGAATGTTTTTGCCGAACATATACAACGGCATAAACATCCAAGTTGAATATTTATTGATTGAGATCACTAGTTCAGATCAATGCAGTATGTTCGTGAACACGTGGTACAATGGTAGAAACCACAGACGTCAAATGCGTGATGGATCGATTCTCGCCGAACAATTTTTTATATTTTCGCACCAAGAAATATTCGGAAATTACTAATTCTTTTTTTTTCTCCAAAAATATTTCCTCAGGTTGAAAGCAAACGGTATATTCCTACTTACTTTAGCCAAATAATTATGCGCAACATATTCAACGCCATAAAGATCTGAGTAGAACGGCTATGCCGAACCGAGTCAACGGCATAACCATCCAAGTTGAATGGTTTTGCCGAAGGCAGTCAACGGCATAACCATCCAAGTTGAATGGTTTTGCCGAAGACATTCAATGGCATAACCATCCAAGTTGAATGGTTATGCCGAAGACAGTCAACGTCATAGCCATCCAAGTTGAATGGTTATACCGAAGACAGTCAACGGCATAACCATCCAAGTTGAATGGTTATGCCGAAGGCAGTCAACGGCATAACCATCCAAGTTGAATGGGTATGCCGAAGACAGTCAATGGCATAACCATCCAACTTGAATGGTTATGCCAAACATAGTCAACGTCATAACCATCCAAGTTGAATGGTTATGCCGAAGACAGGCATTGGCATAAACATCCAAATTGAATGGTTATGCCGAACATATACAACGGCATAACCGTCTAAATTGAATGTTTATGGCGAACATATACAGCGGCATAAAAATCTAAATTGAATGTTTATGCCGAACATATACAACGGCATAAACATCTAAGTTGAATGTTTATGCCGAACATATACAACGGCATAAACATCTAAATTGAATGTTTATGCCGAACATATACAACGGCATAAACATCTAAGTTGAGTGTTTATGCCGAACATATACAACGGCATAAACATCTAAATTTAATGTTTATGCCGAACATATACAACGACATAAACATCTAAGTTGAATGTTTATGCCGAACATATACAACGGCATAAACATCCAAGTTGAATATTTATTGATTGAGATCACTAGTTCAGATCAATGCAGTATGTTCCTGAACACGTGGTACAGTGGTAGAAACCACAGACGTCAAATGGGTAATGGATCGATTCTCGCCGAACAATTTTTTATATTTTCGAACACAGAAATATTCGGAAATTACTAATTCTTTTTTTTTCTCCAAAAATATTTCCTCAGGTTGAAAGCAAACGGTATATTTCTACTTACTTTAGCCAAATAATTTTGCGCAACATATTCAACGCCATAAAGATCTGAGTTGAATGGCTATGCCGAACCGAGTCAACGGCATAACCATCCAAGTTGAATGGTTATGCCGAAGGCAGTCAACGGCATAACCATCCAAGTTGAATGGTTATGCCGAACACAGTCAACGTCATAACCATCCAAGTTGAATGGTTATGCCGAAGACAGGCATTGGCATAACCATCCAAACTGAATGGTTATGCCGAAGACAGTCAACGTCATAACCATTCAAGTTGAATGGGTATGCCGAAGACTGTCAATGGCATAACCATCCAAGTTGAATGGTTATGCCGAAGACAGTGAACGTCATAGCCATCCAAGTTGAATGGTTATGCCGAAGACAGGCATTGGCATAACCATCCAAATTGAATGGTTATGCCGAACATATACAACGGCATAACCATCTAAATTGAATGTTTATGCCGAACATATACAACGGCATAAACATCTAAATTGAATGTTTATGCCGAACATATACAACGGCATAAACATCTAAGTTGAATATTTATGCCGAACATATACAACGGCATAAACATCTAAATTGAATGTTTATGCCGAACATATACAACGGCATAAACATCTAAATTGAATGTTTATGCCGAACATATACAACGGCATAAACATCCAAGTTGAATATTTATTGATTGAGATCACTAGTTCAGATGAATGCTGTATGTTCGTGAACACGTGGTACAGTGGTAGAAACAACAGACGTCAAATGAGTAATGGATCGATTCTCGCCGAACAATTTTTTATATTTTCGCACCAAGAAATATTCGGAAATTACTAATTCTTTTTTTTTCTCCAAAAATATTTCCTCAGGTTGAAAGCCAACGGTATATTCCTACTTACTTTAGCCAAATGTTTATGCGGAACATATTCAACGCCATAAAGATCTGAGTTGAACGGCTATGCCCAACCGAGTCAACGGCATAACCATCCAAGTTGAATGGTTATGCCGAAGGCAGTCAACGGCATAACCATCCCAGTTGAATGGTTATGCCGAAGGCAGTCAACGGCCGATAACCATCCAAGTTGAATGTAGTTATGCCGAAGGCATATACAACGGCATAAACATCTAAGTTGAATGTTTAGCAGGAACATATACAACGACATAACCATCTAAATTGAATGTTTATGCCGAACATATACAACGGCATAAACATCTAAGTTGAATGTTTATGCCGAACATATACAACGGCATAAACATCTAAATTGAATGTTTATACCGAACATATACAACGCCATAAACATCTAAGTTGAATGTTTAGGCCGAACATATACAACGGCATTAACCTCCAACTTGAGTATTTATTGATTGAGATCACTAGTTCAGATCAATGCTGTATGTTCGTGAACACGTGGTACAGTGGTAGAAACCACAGACATCAAATGCGTAATGGATCCATTCTCGCCATGTTTATGCGGAAAATATTCAATTCAACGCTATAAACATCTGAGTTGAACGGCTATGCCGAACCGAGTCAACGGAAATTACTAATTCTTTTTTTTTCTCCAAAAATATTTCCTCAGGTTGAAAGCAAACGGTATATTCCAACTTACGTTAGCCAAATGTTTATGCGGAACATATTCAATTCAACGCCATAAACAACTGAGTTGAACGGCTATGCCGAACCGAGTCAACGGCATTACCATCCAAGTTGAATGGTTATGCCGAAGGCAGTCAACGGCATAACCATCCAAGTTGAACGGTTATGCCGAAGACAGTCAACGGCATAACCATCCAAACCGAATGGTTATCCCGAAGGCAGTCAACGGGATAACCATCCAAGTTGAATGGTTATGCCGAA